CAACATATACCACGCGCACTCACCCCGCACTCTGAGCAGGGCAACGCTCACCTCCCTCCATCAACTCATCAACCCTGGCAGTGAAGTTTACACAGAAGCTGTAAATGTCATCCATGAGCCCCAGAGGGAGGTCCTGGGCCACTCCTCCCGGTCTCACGTAGGCCGCGTGCATCCTGGCTCCTGACACCCTCTCATAGAACTCAAACATCTATCACAACATCAACGGTGATAAGAGAGGGATAGTCAATTAGGGAGGGATGTCGCCACACTGGCAGGTGGTCAACCCAGAGGGGATAGGACAAGGATGCGTAGTTACATAAGAGTCACATGATGATTCTATGCATTCCAAAGGATAGCATTTTTTCTCGCTTTTGTCTAACATGTTGATCCACGATGTGCTTTGGGCCCCAATAACAAGTCCTTGCTTGAGCCTCTGATTTGCTCACTCGGTTGTATTAGCATACTCTATGCACATAATATGTTGCAGTACAACAGATTTGTTGGATATCCCTAGGCAAATGACATGTATGAACCCTGCTTGCACTTGTAGGATTGTATAGGCTGATACAATCCCCCAGTACCTAGCTTCATACCATGTCGTTGCCTAGGGATATCCAACAAGTATACAGTTGCAGTTACAGGGAGAATGCTGTCCTGTTTGGGTACTGTTGTTGGATATCCCCAGCAACCGACATGTATGAACCCACCTTACATCGCGCATGCTCATAAAACTCCCCAGTACGTAGCTTCATGTACATGTCGGTTGCCTAGGGATATCCAACAAAGGTGTATGCTATCCCTTGGAGTGTATCATGGTTTATACAGTGTTGTTAGTAGCTATATCAACATGCAAGTATGAGCATGGGGTCTAGGTTGAATTTTCTGCCTTCAGAAAGGCACTCCATTATCAGAATCTCTGACTCAGGGGATCTCAGAGCCCCATTCCTTTCAAGACACAAATTGTGTACCCGCTAATTAACTACAGAGGTCAAATGCACAAAAGGCACCAAAATAACCACAAACAGAACAATCATCACATGTATGTGTAGATTGCTGGAATACACTGTTGTTATAGTATTACACAGGTGTCCAGTTAGTAGCTAGTGGAGGCACCAGCTGTGTGTCTCTCTGGGAGATTGTGGCAGATAAAACCCCCGCAAAACCCCGCAAACCCACAGTCCAACCCTCCAACATGTCTCAACAACGTAGCGAGGTAGAAAGGCAAGGCAAACAAGTCAACTACACCCAGGACAGCTCTTTCTTTTCAAAGAAAAGAAGAGTTGCCCTGGGTGGGATTCAAACCCACGGCACTCTGCAGTCTAGGCGAGCGCCACTACAAACTGAGCTACCAGGGCAACTCAGCTGGTAGGGGTTCGAATCTACAACACAACACAACACAAGGCAAACCTCAAACCACTGTGCTATGGCACAGTATACTCTCACTCTCGGTGCAGCAGAATGATGTCACTTTTCAATGACATCATGTAACAAACCTCATGACTGTGATCAAACCTTTTCTCTCTCCTCAGTGACCCAGACGAAGGGAGTGGTGGCCCCCAGGTCCAGGATATGGGCCCCCACAGCCAGGCAGTGGTTCAGAAGACGAGTAATCTCCCCGAACATGGTGCGGATGAACTTTGCCCTCGGTGGAATGTCAATGCCCATCAGTTTCTCAATGGCCAGTGAGTAGGCCTGCTCATTGCACATCATTGACATGTAGTCCAGTCGGTCGAAATACGGGAGTCCCTGCAACAAAGGATCAGACATTGACACCATACCACTACAGCCCCCAGGGTCCTGTCTCTTTCTTTCTGTTTATATGTTATTGTCTGTGTTTTTGTACGCTTGGGTATGTTATTGTCTGTGTTTTGTGTGCTTGGGTGGGGGACTTTTCCTCTGAGCTAGTATGCTATAAACATGTTTTTTCATGACCCAAGTTCAGTGTGACACTTCATATATTTGTTATGCAACGTCTGTCCACAGGCACAATGCAGTGCAGTGCAGTGGTCTATATACCTCCACAGTACCTCAAAATATGCAATGTTGTTCGTGCATACGCAGGCACCATGGAGTGCAGAGCATACATATGTACCTGCATGTAAGTCTTGTACTCAATGAGTTTCTCTGTTCCTCTGTGCAGTAGTCCAATATGAGGATCGCATCGCTCCACCGTCTACAACATCAGAAATATCATCCTCACTACATACATCCTCTGTTCCTGCACTCTTTCCTACCCACCCAGTTTAATTGCTACTACCTCCCCCACCTCTCCACTCAGCTCCCTCCCTCACCTCTCCACTCATCTCCCTCCCTCACCTCTCCACTCATCTCCCTCCCTCTCACCTCTCCACACAGCTCCCTCCCTCACCTCTCCACCCATCTTCCTCCCTCACCTCTCCACCCATCTCCTCCCTCACCTCTCCACCCATCTCCTCCCTCACCTCTCCACCCATCTCCCTCCCTCACCTCTCCACTAAGTTCCCTCCCTCACCTCTCCACTCATCTTCCTCCCCCACCTCTCAACTCAGCTCCCTCCCTCACCTCTCCACTCATCTCCCTCCCTCACCTCTCCACTAAGCTCCATCACCAGTCGGAGTACTCCGTGAGCAGCTGGGTGCTGTGGTCCAAAGTTGACTGTCATATTTGTCAGCTGCTTCCCAGGCACTGGTCCTGGGGGAACACAACACCAATCATGGGCGATAATAACTCTTTGTACACAAAATTAACGACAAAGTAGTTTTATTTTAGTGATACAAAGATAGAGTCTGTTGGTGTGTGGTGTTATTCAGCAAGTTTAATGTTTGGTTTTTGCAGTGACTATTTGTTGTGTTTCTTGTCCTGCGGTTGTTCTGGGGGTAGTGCTGTGTGACAAGGAAGTGTATAAGAACCGATTCATCATAGTGGCTCACAAAACAACTCTAACTATCTCCAACTACATTAGCACATACTGTCGACGTCCCAGACTGCAGACTCTTCGTTGGGGTACATCACGTTCCCCGTGTACTCGGCAATCTTCCTCGGTAGTTTCAGTGGCTCTAGCTCCTTGAGGGCCGCCTGCCTGTCCTCCTCCACGATCTGGGCCTGTGATTTGTGGCCACCCCAGCCACCCTGGCCCCCTGGAGCGGTGTAGCACCTGGAGCGCACACAACACGACAGTCTTACCAGTCCCCGTGGCTGAGCAATATCCTATAGTATTACCTTGCCCACTGGAGCCTAGCTGAGGGCCGAGAACCTAGTCTCAAAACATGCTTCCAAGCAGCCGCCATCTCTTGGTGGTGTGACGCAATTAGAATTAATATTACTGCGCATGCGCACCGAGCCCCGCCCCTCAACGTGCGCGCTGAGCCGCTGAGGCCATAAAAAAAACTGAGATCTCACCTATACTGTGTAGACGGCAAAAACCCGTGTGTCGACAGGACGACCACACTAACCTGAGTGAAGGTATATAATTAAAAAATTAGCTACAGATTGTTCTTTCAATCCTAGTGTATGCTTATGCTAGCCACAGCCCGACCGTAGAGAATTTTTGCACACACTGCAGCATTCTCGCAGCTGTTTGCAGTTCCAAAAAGGTGATTCTTTGACAACAACGCCATCCCCTCTCCTGGTGAGTTAGAGATCTGCATGAAGTGGTGCCATGGGATATCGGTGCAGTGAAGGTGGCCAGGTCTGTTGAGGCGATAACGTCTCTGCAACACGTGCTGCACCCCAAAGTCCAGCTCAATGGCTTCCCAGGCGCTGATGCATATAGGCCAGCCTTCCCAAAGGGTGCAAGATTTGAATTAGCATAAAGGGTGACCCAAAACTGTAGCGTTGGCTTCAAGGAAGAAGTGCCCACTGCACTGCACCTTTTCTTTCTGCAGTATCCAATGGCATCCCTCAGGAGAACTCGTCGCATGAAGAGGACAAATAGATCCCTGGAGGAAACCCCTACCAAGGACACTCAGCCAGAGAGAATTGCCGCTGAGGAGGGGGAGGAGATGGATGGAGAAACTGGGCTACCATTTTCTGATGAGAGTGGGGATGCAGAGGGGGCCGAGAAAGGTGTCACACTTCTGGAGAACTCTGAGAACTGTCGAAGGTCACACCACTGCTTTTTATTTTATGTCTGACCTGAAACAGTTATGGTGTACCATTTTATGTACAGTGCTGTGTGTTTCGTGCGACTGCAGGTTCAGTTCTCGTGTCAGGCGCAAGACAGACTTCTTTAGCTTGATTGGAGAGGGAGAAGAAGGAGAAGAGGGAGGTGGGAAGGGGAACACTAGGAGCAAGAAGGTTCCCTTAAAGCCTCTCTCTGTTGTCCGGAGGCTGTCGTTTGAGCCTCACTCCAAGCCAGCACTCGTCGCTCCTCCACCTGACGTTCTTACCACACAGAACAACTCTGGCCTTATGGAAGAGGATGGAGGACCGGTGGCCATAATGGAGAGTCCAGTCTGCAAAGAAGACATCATAAACCATGCTGTGGTATGTCCATACATTAACTTAAGTGAGTGTGTATGTTTAGATGATTTATGTTTCTCTTTGTCTTAGCTGGAAAAAGTCTCTGCGCCTGTGGCACCAGGTCCAGATACACCATTTCAAGATGGGGAAACCTCTTCAGCAACAGGAGGAGGAGAAGGTGGAGGGGAGGAGTACCCTGTGGGCAGCATGGTGTGGGGCAAACTGCCTGGCTATGACTGGTGGCCGGGGGTCGTCATCAGCTACTCCCAGGACACAGTCAGTGGCGGAGGAGACCAGCCTCACCAGTCAGGAGTAGATGGCGAGAGAGGAGGAGGTGTGCAGGTGTGGATCAAGTGGTTCGGAGAGAACAACCTGTCTCAGGTGGGCCAGCCTCTGACAGGCCCCATCCAGTAGAGTATAATAGTCGCTGAACAGCATACTCTGTGCCCTATTTCAGCTGCTGACAGAGAAGTTGGCACCATTCAGTGATTTTAAAGAGCACCTAAGCACCTCCAGCTTGAAGGGTGTCTACAGAAGAGGTGTCTTCCTGGCTATCAAGGTGGGCTTTTATCACAAGGGTATGCTGCATTTTGCATGCTGCTGCACATACTCTTATGTGAGAACTTGATGTTTAGCTAGAGGGCAGATTTGAGTTGCACCTTTGAGTTGCACCTTGTTCAGTTCTCTAGCTATTGTTGTTGTACCAAGAAGCAATAGGCTGCAGTTTTTGGTTGGGGCTGTGTAAACTGCAGAATCTGAACCAGTTAGCCTAATTTAATTAGGCAAAGAAATTGTCTGCTGAGGCTTGCAGTGTAAGCTGTTGTCCACTTCATTAGATATTGTTTGTTTCTTGAGTGGATAGTTTTCACCACAGCTACAGTCCCCCACCCACTCCACTATCTACCTGTATAATTATAGGAAGCTGCAAGAAGGTGCAACTTCATCTTCAAGGCCAGGGTAGAGGACAAAGCTCATCAGTGGTTAATCAGCGATGGGTCTCTGGAGCCGACACTAATTACAAGGGCCGGGAGAGAGGAAGAGGGAGAAGGAGATGGGGCGGACAAGAGGAACACCGAGAAGGGACCTGTTGGTGAGTGTGTGTGGTTGCTGTTACTACTGTAGAAGTTGGAGACATGATTCTTCCTTTGAACTACTTCAAGGAAATCAGTTTGCTTACACTGAGAGGTGACTTCATATAGGTGGGTGGGCTTGCTTATCTTACCCTGAGGCTGAATTCTGCCCATTAAACACTTGTCAACCACACAGACCTCCAACTGTTGCATGGTATATACCTACTGTAGGTATATTACACCCTTTCTGCCACAGCTGGTGTGCCAGGAGAGACCAAGTCAACTGGTAGTGGAGGAGGAGGAAAAGGAGGAGGAGGGAAGCGGAGGAAGAAGAGACTAGCAGGAGACATCCTCCTGACTTCTCTGGAGCAGGAAATACTGCAGTGGGCACTGCACGGGTTCCAGCCTGCAGGGCCAGAGGGACTCAAACCAACTTCAGGTAACACACACTGTATGTACTTGTCTCTGAGCATCACTTCTAGAGTGGGTTTTAGGTAGTAATTATTGCATAAGTGTGCATAACTGGACCTGTCTGCCCAGTAATTAACACTATAATACAGAGTCTGCACTTGGGCGTGTGGTTGTCAAGGGGTGACATGATAAGATTGTCCAGGGATTTCCTGTGTTACCAACCACACAATCATGCAAAATAATATAATATTCCTACATGATGCATGCAGAGTCCTTGGACTCTCAGCCTCCATTTCAACTCCACTTAGCAACTTCTAGAATTGATGTGATTGTGTGTACGCAGAGACTAAGCGATTTACAGCAGGCTAGCACAATCACATAAATGTGCGAAACCTACGTATATGCTCTAGTGTGTAAGTGGGCCTCATGTAGCAGTTTATTAGCATATCTTACGGACAAAAACTCCATTCCAGAGCTCATAATATAAGCTGAATGTTGAATTTGCTGATAATTTTTGGTACATTCATTCACTCTCTACTCCACAATAGAGGATGGTGTTGAGGTCCAAGTCCTGCCTGTGCAGTCTGGAGGCAGGAAGACGCAGGAGGGAGGAGGAGGAGGAGATGAAGAGGAGCCTCCAAAGAAGAAGGCGAGGGTCATGCTTCTTCAGGTCAAGAAGAAAGGTTAGCATGCAGCAGGTTCCAACAGAGAGGAGATGATTGGTCAGCATTTGACATGAGTGCGCACCATATGAACCAGAACTTCGCACACAGTTCCATACAAAGTACCTGCTATTATACTGTATGTGCAAACCACAAGCAGCTCAGGTTGTAAGCACTTTCAAACCCTACCTTAATGCTTGTGCACAACCACTCTTGGCCTGCATGGGTTTCTGTCAAATGAGATACGTTAATGCAAGAAGCTGCGTGTAGTGTGGCCATGCCAACCAGCTCTAGTAGATTTCCTACATGCATGTGTGTATAGTGAAATGTAAACTTTGTTTCTGCTGTAAAATATTTTTGCCCATTATTTTTTCACAGTCCATTTTGATTCTGTTCGAGAGGGAAAAGTTAAGATGTCTGGTGAGTAGACTTGTCATACATACATACATACATACATTGGTATTCGAGGATTGACTGAGAAAGACACACAATAGACATAGTAAGTAGTTGTGTGCAAGTGACAAAGTGGATTTGGCTATTCTCTATATTGTCAACCTGAGGAATGTCTAATGTTTTTATGTACATCTTATTACCCTCGGCGCGCATGCGCAGCGAGGGTACGGTAGTTGGGTCTGTCTGTCTGTCTGTCTGTTACTCCACATCTCACTTCTCGGGTGTTTGTTCGTCTCACAAAGGATATGACCTACTTAACGGGCAAGAAGGTCAGAAAGTTCGAACGGTTTTCTCTGAAACTGCTCCATTGCAAAGCTAGAGTGCGAAAAAGCCAATATCCAAATACACAACGGACGGGATGGCTTACTACGGCATGATCGATCCGCGTGCTCTGCGTACCTCGGAGGCACCAGAAGATGCAACGCAGGGCGTGTATCGCCTCTCGCATGCTATCTAGTAGTGTAGTTAGCCCGCGTCAGACTCTGCGCGAGCTGGCAAGAGACCACGAGTAATAGCTAAAACTAAACCCAGCCCATCAATTAGTGGTACGGCGCATGCGTTTACTTACGCGTGCGCGTCACAATGCACCGAGGGTTTGCACTTCAGTGCTTTTCATTGAAATGTTGTTGCTTGTTCTCTGATTTCTCTTCTTTGACTTCCAGATATTTGTATTGCGTGTGGGACCACTGATATCGTAACTGAACACCCGTTGTTTGAAGGAAGTCTCTGCAAGGAGTGCAAGGTTTGTCATTTTTCTCTCCAGTAAGAAGCTGAACATGGCCTGTTCTGCCTCTGTGATATACTATTCATACGTGGCTGTGTGTGCATTCACATGTCACTCAGGTGTTCACGTGCAACATAGTGATTTTAACCCTCGGCGCGCATGCACAGCAAGGGTTACAGTACTTTGTCTGTCTGTCTGTCTGTCGGTCTGTCGGTCAGTGTGTGTGTCAATGCTTATTCTGGCACAGGGTTTGCACTTTAGAGCTTTTCATTTTTTTTGCAGGATTCATTCTTGGAGTGCACATACCTGTTTGACGAGGATGGAACTCAGGTGAGCGTTTCGATTCCTTCCCATACTTTAACATTGGGGCTGAAATTCACGAATAATACTGCGCGTAATAGCAAGCTAACGTAGGCTACAAACACTAAACAGTGTAGTGCAGTGTTTGGTAACCTGGGGTCCCTTGTTTATCCTGGCCACCGTCACTTTTTCACTCACTCTCACTCTCTCTGATGCAGATGTACTGCTGTATATGCTCGGCAGGGGAACAAGTGTTCATGTGTGATTCAGAGAACTGTGCCAAGTGAGTCAGTTGGTTGAATGACGAGGGAGGCCTGGTGCCTACTGTGTATCAAAGATACATATTATAATATTTCACGCGTGTTTTATGCCACCATTCAGTAGCTAAGCAGCATGAAAACTTTTGATGTCTTTGCAGAAAAAGAAGGGTGTTTTCCATCTTGCAAACAGCTAGGTTTTATCACAGCCGTAAGTGTCTTGCAACGCTTATACAATGAAAAACACTAAAGTGCAAACCCTCGGCGAACTGCGCATGCGCGGTACCGCTAATTGATGGGCTGGGCTATTAGTATGCGTTTACTCATGGTTTCCCGTAGTCTCATGCCCAGACCCCACCCACTCATCACGCGGGAAAGGGGTCTGGTAACCACTATTGACACATTTCTTGGTCCTAGATCTCGAAAATGAGATCTTCAATCAGATTGCAGAATGGTCAATCAACGTCAAGTGCATCTGTAGTCCGTGATTTTGGTAGGCGGGGTCCCGTATGCATCATGTATATACTAGTTTAGATAACCACAGATATGACGTCTTCAGGACCAGCTAGCTCGCGGAGTCTGACACGGGTTAGCTACCAGTAGATAACATGCGGGAAGTCGATACACGCACTTGGTTGTGACTTTTTGTGCCTCCAAGGTTTACAGAGCGAGCGGATCAGGTCGAGGTAAGCCAGAAAGATTATGCATATTGGCTTTTTCGCTTGTTTTCACGCCATAATCTCTGGAACGCAGTCGTTTCAGGAAAATCACCCTTCATGCCTTCGTAGCCCTGAAACTGCTGGTATCACTCGTGGGCCGCCTCGTAGCCTGTAGTGCGAGAACTCGCGTGGACAGACAGACCAAGTACCGTAAACCTCGCTGTGCATGCACACCGAGGGTTAATAATAACACTCACATTCTTGACGTCCCCACACTTTTCTTCAGGCTAACAATTGACTTGACTGGTAGGATTCAGACTGCTTAGTTAAGCATATTTGAAAGCCCAGTTTAAGTCTGTATGGCACATGTCATGGTCCCAATGGTTTTACAACGTAAAAGGGGGCATTTGACTTACAACTTTGTGTGGTTTCAACTTAGAGTGTACTGTGGCCCCTGCATTGAGAAGCTGTGTGGAGCTCAGGAGCTCGAGAAGGTCTGTTACACACATTTACAACAGCAGATGCTATGATGTAGCTACTGTACCCCATGCAGGTGAAGACAGCAGAGCAGTGGCAGTGCTACATGTGCACCCCAGGAAGTCAGTCGGTGGGACTCCTGGCCACCAGACACGACTGGGACCACAAGCTGCAGGACCTGTTCAAGATGGACAACCAGGAATATGTGAGTCCCTAAAATCAACAGTGGAGTAAACATGCAGATTTCTGCCGGTATTTTGCACCAGAGACTTGAGCCATATTATGGATTTCCTGAAGTACGTATAATTATGCATTATCGACAGCAAACTTTAGATCGATACGGGCAGGCCTAATAATGTTAAAGTAGAATTATGAGATTAGTATTTCCCACAGTCAGCACTGAATAGCTGAACTAGCATTACTTGGAGTATTATAAGGGTCTACACTACTGCTCTTATCTGTCCCTCTGTCCAGGACTCCTCTCTAATCTACCCACCCATCCCACCAGAGTACCGGAAGCCTATCCGTGTCCTGGGGCTGTTTGATGGCATCGGGACTGGTCTCTTGGTTCTGAAGCAACTGGGAATCGAGATAGAAACCTATGTTGCCTCGGAGATTGACGAGGATGCCATCAAGGTGGGGTTGCTAGGGTTAGGGAGTAATGGATGGAAAAGCAACTGCTAACTTGTTTCCTGTTTGTCAGCTTGATTAGCTGCACCTGTGCTTTGGAGTGAGTAGTGTGAGCGTGTAAGAGCTGGGTTTCTTCACTGGGTTACCTCAGATAATTCAATTCGCGCATCTCGCGCCCGATCTCACGCCAGGTAGGCAGAAGGAATGGTGAAGAGTGCATAGTAACAAAGAGAGGATAAAATACACAGAAAATCAGCTCTACCTCCGGGATTTAAACATGCTTAGCTAGCTCGCTTTTGCTTGTGTGGTGTGACCTTATGTAGAGAGTCCATTATTGGTTGTGACAGCAGGTGTCTCGAGTGTGGCACAATAAGATCTTCCATGTTGGAGACATCTCAAAGATCACTGAGAAAGAGGTGAAGTATATACATACTACACTACAGTACTCTGCTATTATTAACCCTCGGCGCGCATGCGCAGCGAGGGTTACGGTAGTTGGGTTTGTCTGTCTGTCTGTCTGTCCATGCTCCAACTCACTTCTCGATGGTATATTCGTCCCACAAACGATACGACGTAATAAACGGGTAATAAGATAAGAATCAGTTTAATCGAACGGTTTCCTCTGAAAATGCTCCGTTGCAGAGATCTGAGTGTTACCAGCATAGTATGCGTACGTTCCGTCGGCCATTTTTTACTCGCGGAAAACGAGCATGCGCATTATATATTACGACTACGTGGCCGTCCGGAAGAGAAAGACGTTTGTGTGTGCCGTGAGTTACGATTTTCCCTGGCTATCATGCCTCCAAGCAAGGTTTGCCCACAATGTCAATCTAGTGTACCACTAAAGCTAAAACTGTGTAAATGTTGCCAACATGTGTTGAGAAAAGCAGAATATAGTTCATCTGACCAAGCCACGAAACGCATGAGAGTGTCCAAGGCCACTAAAAGAGCGTCAGAAACAAGCAAGCAAAGTGTGCATAGAAAACAGCCGGACAGAAAGTGCAAAGCAAGCACGAGAGAAAACAGCAGGACAGAAAGTGCCGCACATGGTCATTGAGCATGCGTATACCGACGTGCAACCATGGCGTCATAGCCCCACTGTGGGACTCCACGCCGAGGGTTTAGCACTCCAGTGCCTTTCATTTATTATCTTCATCCTTCCAGATACAAGCCCTGGGTCCTTTCGATCTGGTCATTGGAGGTAGTCCCTGCAACGATCTGTCTATTGTAAACCCAGCACGAAGAGGCATTTATGGTAAGAGCATACATAGTGCTCTTGTAGTGTGTGCCCTGTTAGCTAGAGCCCTCACCTAGACTACAGAGTGTCGTCGTAAATCCCACCCAGGGCCGCTCTTCTTTTTCCAGGCGAGCTGTCCTGGGTGTAGTTGAATTGCTTTTGCCTTTCTTCCTCGTTGTTATATACCTGTATGTCTATGTCTGTAGTTTGTTAGTGGACGCTTTGGTACGCCATTAGTCACCTACCCTCGCCTGCGCGGTGAGGGTTATTGCAGTTGGTCTGTGTGTGTGTGTGTGTGTGCGTCTGTCCGTCCGTCTGTCTACCGTTTTTCTCGGTAACCGCGGCAACTCTGAGCGTGAAACGTGGACATATTATCAAGTAGGAGGCATACATAGTAAAATAAGATTCTGGAGCGGAGAAGGCCAGCGGCTGTCGAGGTGAGTGTGCGTCAATTAGAGATCGCGCGAACGATCTCTGTGCTGTATGCTTTGCGCGTATTGATGGTACAGTTGAGTAGGAGCGAGATTGCTGGTGAAGTGACAGCAGCACACGCCCAGTGAATCCGTTCAGTGAAGGACTCACTTATGTAGTGTAGCTAGTATATAGCTGAATAAAGTGCTGAGTGCTTTTCACTTTGCTGTAGTAGTAACTAGTATTGAACACGCATGTGCAAAAGACTGAGGTAGTGTAACTAGTAGCCATTGGCTGCTGAAATAAAGAATAAAGTGGCGAGGGTTATGCACTTTCAAGTGCTTTTCATAGCCTTTGGAACCAGTATGGCCACTGTAACCATTGTCCTCCACTGCGCAGAGGGTACCGGGAGACTGTTCTTTGAATTCTTCCGCATCCTGTCCTATGTGAGGCTGTACAGCGACAGGCCTCTCTTCTGGCTCTATGAGAACGTAGTGTCCATGAGAGCCAACGACAAGCAGACCATCTCGAGGTTCCTGCAGGTCAAAGTTCAAGCCTATATATGTACTAGTCATGGTGTTTCTACTTGTACTGTGCTACAGGGTCTCAGAGTGCTTTTGTGTAGCTATAACAGATGTTATAACAGACGCCAAGCAAAAAAATCCCGTTTATTTTTGGTCTGTACCACGGCATGTGCATGCAGGTGTATGATATTTTTTCTGGAGTAGCAATTATACATTCATACCTCTATTTCTTGGTAAGAAGCATGGGCACATATGTTTTTCTAGTGTAATCCGGTGGTGGTGGATGCCAAGGACATCTCGGCCACCCACAGAGCTCGATACTTCTGGGGAAACATCCCGGGAATGAACAGGTGAGAGCCACTGTGGGACTGCGGCCTGGTGAGCTGTCAGGCTGTAGATGAAGTGTTCAAGCAGATTGAGTAATGTGTTACCTACAGGTCTCTAATCTTACCTTCGAGTGCAATGCCCTGTATTTCTCCCTGCAGGCCCACAACGTCACTGCCTGGAGATCGTCTAACACTCCAGGACTGCCTGGAGCCAAACTGCTCCCGGTTTGCCCAGTTCTCGAAGCTGCGGACTATCACTACAAAGATGAACAGCATCAAGCAGACCAAGGCAGCCATATACCCTGTCCGTATGGTTCCACTTGTGGGTGGAGTGGAGCAAACCAATGTCTCAAAGGAACAGATGCAGGGAGATGTACTGTGGTGTACAGAGATGGAACGGTATATAGGCAACTTGACACCTGCCAATGCACAGTATCTGTGTGTGTATGAATTGCATTGCGTGTAGCCTCATTTTGCACATTGTGGTGGTATATACATCTTGTATATATGGAGTATATATACAAGCCTGCAGATGATGAACTCATGTCCAGTAATACGTTTTTTTCGGAATATAAGTCGCACTGAGTATAACTATTATATCACACCAGCGATTTAACTTTTTTGCTAACACATGTTTTTCGACGATGTAACAGTGTACAGCTGTGCTCTTACATGCCATTGCCACTGCGAGTGTTGAGTGTGAATCTCCCACTGCAGGCTCTTTGGATTCCCTGTCCACTACACGGACGTGGCCAATCTCGGTCGCTCTGGCCGGCAGCGACTGCTGGGCAAAGCCTGGAGTGTCCCGGTTCTCCGACACATCCTCTCTCCCCTCAAGGACTATTTTACTTCTAATACCACGCTGGCCAGGAAATCATCTCTTGCTACTAGTGGCAGCAATGCTATTTCTCAGAAGCCATCCTAGTATCACTAGTCAATAGTCAATGTTTGAACTGCCCCTATCATAATCATGTAGGCAATATATATTATTATACATAACAAATAGTATTCAATTCGGGGCCAATTTTTCATGTAGGCTATATATATTACCGTCAAACTATATAATTCACCAACTGCCATGCCTCTTGGGTTCATTTATATATTAATGTTATAGAGCATTAAATGAATGCAATCTCACACATAGTCCATCACCTGGCATTCCAGAGGACACACCACAGAAATTGATTGGTAACTGAACCAAATCACGAGATATTTCCACCTGCTGTGTATATAGGGAACAAACCTCCGTCCTTTTCTGGATCCTGCTGACAATTCCCACTTCTCAAACTACAAGTGTGTTTATCTGCCACTCGGGCTGAGTAATGTTTCCCCAACAAGCTCCCAAGTAGGAAAAGAATAGATGACCATCATCACAGTTAGCTGTGCTGAGCTGGTAAAGGTAGCTACCTGGAAACAGGCAGGCGATGGCCACCCCTCGGAAAACAAAAATTCCAAGTTCAAAAGATGAAAGCCCTACGGTGGGCACCATATATACCAAAACAGCAGGCACACTGCAAACCCTCGGCGAACTGCGCATGCGCGTTACCGCTAATTGATGGGCTGGGACTTTTAGTATGTGTTTACTCGTGGTCTCCCGGTAGTAGCTCGCAGAGAGTCTGACACGGGCTAGCTACAGTAGTAGATAGCATGCGAGAGTCAATACACGCCCTTCGTTGTGACTTCTTGTGTCTTCAAGATACACAGAGCAAGCGGACCCGGTCGAGGTAAGCCTGTGCCAAATATAAGCGCATGCTCATTTTCCGCAGCGATAAAATGGCGCGACTAGCGCTCTAGCTTGCAGCGGAGCATTTTCAGAGAAAACCGCACATATTTTCTGACCTTCATTCTCCGTTTTAAGTAGGTAGTATCGTTTGTGAGACGAAAAAACATTCGAGAAGTGAGATTGAAACACACTGTACCCTCGCTGCGCATGCGCGCCGAGGCTCCGAGAATGCAGCATTATGCGCATGCACAATGCGCACCGAAGCGCGTCCGTCACAATCGCCGGGCATCGACACGCTTGAATCGTCGTTGCGTGCGATGGTAATTGTCAAGCCACTACGGGGATATCCCTTGGAAACTCCCCTCCCTTCCCTAAACCTTCAAGACTGACTCCCTGAAGAGCTAGAGTTCTGCCCAACAACCTCTTTTACGGCTATTTTTTGCTAGTGCGAAGCTTTGTGTTCACGTTTTGTAAGTTAATATCTAGCTAACAATAAAGTTTGTTGATTAGGTCGCGCTGGCGCACGGCGCATATTACGGGTAGCTATGTGCCTGAAGAAAAATAACTGTTCTTATCCTGCATTCTATATAGGACATGTCACAATTTGAGTTTGGGTCAGGTGCTAACGCTGTGTAATAATCAAATTCATGGAGAAGGTTTGGAGAGACTGAGGTTGATCTTGTATCCTCTTCTGCAATGGTCCGAGCTAAAACCCCTCACTACACCATTAGCTATGTACAATAAATTGGAGGAACACATGGAAAAAGTAACGGCTCTGCAAATATTCCTGTTTGCACTGGAAGCCATAGGTGGGAGTATGAGAGGGAAGTATTGTACTGATGAAGCAAGAAGAATACTAAAGTATAATGTCCATCTTGAGTTTAGCGGAGAATCAAGAAAATTCCGATTTTTCTTTTGGCTTCTAAAGATTGTGCGGTGCCTTCCAGCTGAATGCAAAGAGGATGTCCTGGTGCACTTTGGAAGATCTTTAAACAAAAACTATCGCCATTTTAAAGAGTCGCTGCCCATCCTTTTTATTGAGCTCTACCAGGGTGGAAAGTTGCATGAAGATGATACGAAGGAACTGGGAGGTTTACTGAAAAACTGCAAATTCCGCTTCAAAGAAGGCACCCCTGAGTTCACCGCTGTCCAGAAGTGCATCTCTGTTCTAACCAATTTCCATAATGGTGCAGAAGAGGGGGAGCCTTTTACTTCCGGTATATATGACTGATATAGTAGAGCTAATATACCAATCATGTGGCTTACTATGTTTTTGTATTTTTATCATTTCAACAGCCGATGAAGAGTCCACTGATGTGTCAATGCAAGGTGTAAAACCTCACTGTCACCTCATTATTAAATATTTTGTTGTGGTCATTCTGTACATACAGTGAGGCTACTTCGTTTCCCTGGACGACGGCGCTCAAATAAACAGAAGATAAGTAGGAGGCGACACAGAGGAGCTCATCCTTCCTTTAGCTCTGCTCCTCGTCGTTGCCATACTGCTCCAGATGATGTCTACAGTACAGGTTTGTGCTAGATGCATGTAGAGGAAGTGTCCATTGGTTTCAAGCTATTCTTGTTATTTAGCTGCATTTTGTATATAACAGTTTTACAAAGGCTTTCTTATTGTCACACACACTCTCCCAGCTCCTCCAGAAACCGAGACCTCAGGGGAAAGTAACAAAGAGATATTAGGTATGTATAATTTTTACCCCTCAGTGTGCATGCACACCAAGGGTTACGGTACTTTGATTTGCAAGTGTGTCTTCCATCATCAACCCTTGCACTTCAGGGATATCAGTATAGTTGGTTTTCTGTCTGTCTGTCCATTCGTTTGTGTACTAGCTACCATATTTTTCTGCCACCACATGCAACAAGATAACAAAATATATAGCAATGCAATAGGTTCATTGCTACACTGGCTTTATGACGTGAAGACCAAGTTAACAAGCCCACAATGGTGGTCAATTTAGTCAACGCTCTATATAGCCAGTATGATGCCACTGGATGGGAAAATACCACGACCAGAATTTTTGGTCTTTCTATATAGACTGTACAGCGGCTCTGTAGTGTAGGGTGTGTTTAGCGATGTACTACTATACATTGCTATGTTCGGAATGTTATGATAACAGAGAGAAGTGGAGTGGAAACGCCAATCAGCTGTAGTGCACCACCTCCTGCAAGTCACGATGAAATGTTTCTTGAAGATACTTCAGAAGGTTTAGTTCTGAGACGACTATAGCTAGTAGCTACCCTCCTTTTTTTCATTATCAACAGATGAACTGACAGGCAGCAAGTATTTTATGCCAGATACAAGTAATGCCGTCACACAAGTTTCTCCAGAGACATTACTAGGTGATATTATGTGTCAATTATTCGTCAATTTACACTGATACTAGGCTCAATCCCTAGCATTGAGTTTATATGTCAAAATCTTTCACTTGCCTGGCACCTGTGTAATGTTAGCCTGATCAAAATGCACACTGCCTTAAAGAATAGCCTTATCACTGCATGCATTGTATCCTTGAAAAGAGACCAACTTGTAAGAGCTTACTGAATATGTTCTTTTTTCCAGCACTTCCTACTGAGACAATGAGTATCAATAGTTATGGAGAAGGTAATGTGGCGCACTTGTTATAATTAATGCAATGCATAACTGGCCTAAGATAATAACCACTGTATAAATGAATTCATAATTATTATGCTATTCCTGCATATTGTGCTATTCCGCATATTGTGCTATTCGCTATTCCAGGACTATATTATATGTCTATGTGGTTTAGCACCAACATTGGTGCAAGTATTTTCCCCTACTTTCAAGTTGCCTTACTGGGTACATCTACTCAGGTTCCATTGTACAGTTCTTAGTGTGTAGACAAGTTTACACAGTAAACTTCCTGTGTGAGCTGGCTTGTTATCACAAAACAGAGAATGGTTGTAAAGGGTAGGCCCCTCTCCAGCTTTTGAGATGCGACAGAGTTTCATCTGCTAAAGCATAAGCATGCTACAGCCATTTATTGCGAGGTAGACCTGCATGTGAGAACTGTGCAGATTCTGCCCTGCAACGCCACACTTCTGTTAGAATCATTCACATCATCATTGCAGACCTATCTGATCGCCCTGATCCGCCGTTGCCACACGCCGGTCCTGGGCCACACACTCCAATTCCTTCGCCACCTAGACCTGAATTTAATATATGTAAGTGAGAGAGAGAGGTTTTGAATAGTAAATTTAGCTATAGCATGCTCTTTTTTTCCAGGGCAAAGTGTCAAGAATAACAAACTGAAAATTGTGGTATTTGTGGGTGTTGCGCTGATGTTGAGTGTTGCTGGTGTGGCCTTATGCTCGATGTATGTCTGGTCTCCTCTCCATAATCTCTCACAATCTCATGACGTCCAGCATCGGGAGAATAACGTGCCAATCCTCGCACAATTTGATTCGTTCTTAGTCAAGCAATTCTACGTGGAGCAGGAAGTGGATTCCAAAGATTCCTCGCATACAGTATATGTTTACCTAACAAATTATCCTTGCAATGAATTGCCTACCACTATAAAACTGCATCACTACAGTGAAGTCTTTCCACCCTCTACCATTCCCGTATACATGCTGGAACACTCTTACATCTTGCTACACGCCAATGCCATTACCTCGAAATTCGAAAATAATCCCGTGTTTTTCTACATCACAAGGACGGTTGAAAGCAGCATCCATTTTGATTCAACGAGTAAGGAAGGTAGATACCGAATATCTGTTGGGAAAGATGGATATTTGAACTCAACAAACATTAGTGTTTCGGTCCATGCAAGTGACTACTACTCGTTTCGATTCATAGTTCCACAGGCAGTGACCCTTACATACAATCTTACACTGATGATCAGACAAATTGACCTTGACGCTTTTAATGCAACATTAGTTGGGACCATTGGCTTTAACAGTGATGATCAAAGAGCTGGAGAGAAGATTAAATTTGGAACAGGAGAATACTGCGTGTTTGCCAGCATCCATGAGAGCGCTTATCCAGCGACCTACAACTACACCACTCTTGACACCCACACACAACCTCGTATTTCTGCTGGTGTTGGAGTCACTGTATCTGTGTTGCTAGTATTTTTTCTTATGGTCCTGCTGGCTGAGGTTTCCTTATATAATTGTGTAAAAGAAGGTTGGTATAAAATGAGAGGCTATACTCGAGTCTGATCTCCATATTTTTTCACTATTTTTGCACAATTGCAGTTACCCTTCATATATGTATACGGGTTAATCTTTGACATTTCTGATTAAAAACTACCCACCTCTCGTCAATAACGATATCAGTAGCTACCGGATAATCGTTGAGACTACATGTCTAGCATGCCATTTTCTAGTTAATCGACTTTCAGACCTGCTGGAGAAAGAGGAAGCCCCCAAGTAGTTAGCTACTGTTTTTCCCAATTACTCTTACGCATACATTTTCAATGTTAATGCCTTGGAGCTTTTGGTCTTCACATCTTGAGCCTCAGCAGCCGATGACCTCCTAGCTAGCTAAGTGTATGTGAATTGATTTGAGTATGGGATCAAGCTAGGACATAAAATTGACATTTTCTCAGATCTGCTAAAGTAAATGGCACAATGTTCAGGTTTTCACCATGATTGTAGTTTAGGAGTAGCTAATATATACCTCATGGTTATTTCTGCTATATATGACACTAAGCTGTGTATAGCTCGTGTTTATATATTATGCTCATGGCAATTGTACCACTGCCTGATCATACCATGCTGCCTGTGGATCATCTATGGCGCGGTCATCTCAACAATACTAACCTGTAGTGCAAGTGGAAGAGGAGTCCTGAAGTAAAGTTGATTCTGGATAATGCGCATGCGTGACACAATCCACACGTTCCCGTTCACGCGTTTCGGTTCGGTCATCTTACGCATGCGTGCTACGCTTAGCCGACAAAGCAGAACTACGGCGCGTGTAAACTAGCCGAAAAAGGAGAATGCTTGAACTAATTGCACTGCGAGAACAGTAAATGGGAAAAGTCCCACAGTGCCGGAAGCATAACATCAAAAGGTATGTGCTGGAGGATGCAGGTGGTCTGAAATAGATCCTATATGTGGGACATGCACATGCGTGTCATTAACTTTAAAGGGTCTTGGCTCACGAGCATATCCTTATGTACACAACTCGAACTCCTGCAGAACACAAGCACAACAGAAGCCGAGACAGAGTATTTGTGAGATGGTGTCAATAGAAGTTGTTTCTGGGGGAAAAAATTAATGCACACTTGCTCATTAGTGCATTATATACGCTTATGAACTGGAGGGGAAACTACACCCCTCAAACGAACACTTACATCCAGATCATCTATAATAATACAACTATACCCTCACACTACAGCAGTTACAAACCAAAGACTACACTCTAAGCAAAGGGTCTTATTAGTCCGAGACCATAGTCATACTGGTAGCTACTTGTCACTCAGAGTCGTGGTGGTCAACGTGAGTGAAACTTGATGTGTTCCTGAAAAGGTTAACAAACACTTGTGTTCGCCGTATGCACTGGCACCCGATGTACTCTTTGGCAGCATCCCTGAGTGTCCCAGTGAAAGCATAGACCAGCAGTCCAATTGGCAGGGATACCACACCAAGTGGAGTGGACACTGCATACACATCCACACCCCAAAATAGTCTCCTCTTCTGCGTTGTTGAAATGATGTGGGTTACAAACTCGATCAGGAATAAGAGGGAGTAGGTACTCAGGAAAATTATCAGTATGACTGCCTCTTCCTTCTTCTGTCCTCGGTGTCGTCTGATCCTTTGGAAACTGTGTTTAACACTCAGCAGGAAGAGAATGATGGCAAAGAGCGAAAAGAAAGCTGTTATGCCAAACGGTATGTACCATATTCCCATCTGCTCCAAGAAGCTACCCTTGATAATCTGACACTCTCTGTCCAGTGTCCTGATCCAGCACCATGGACCTGTCTCTCCATATGGTACTGCTACGAATGGCACCCACCCATACAAAGCCGGTCCTACCACCGACACCACCACCAGTAGTGTCTCAAGTGCCACCTTTTGCCCCTTGGACGGTCCTTTTGGTGGGACCGAGAAGAAGATGTCGAGAGAGTGATAGATAAAGTGCACTGATACTCCGACTACAAAGAAGAGCTGAACACTCCCTGTGTACTGGTCCGCCACACCAACAGCCTCACACAAATGCACCTGTGTAAATTTCAGTTTAACTGCTAGGGGATAATTCTCATGGTACATAGCTAATTATTCTAACCTGCCACATGTGTCGTGGGACGAAATCTTTCCCCCCAGCCCCTCGGTAGTTCCAGTAGTGCTCCATGTGAGCACTGAGTACCAGGAGATAGGCAGAAGTGGAGAGGAGAGGTAGCTCATGAGGCGAGTCTGAGTGCTTCCTTTCAAACCAGCCAGTCCTTTCACCCGCAGCACTACCACCAGTGCCAGTACAGAGACTGCGAAACAGGCCACCCCAGTCGCGCCCCTTGCCAATGCCACCAGACGAACATCCTTTGGTCTCAGGTTGGTGCAGTTGCTGAAGGAGCCTATTCCTCCTCTGTCCTCTAGCTCCACTTCATACATCCTCTCTATTCCGTGGCTCTCTTGTCCTAGTGCCACGGTGTGGGGGCGCCAGGCGAAAGAATTGCTATTTGCTACTCTGCTCAAGCTATCTGTACTTCAAAGCACACAGAGTTGTGAGTGTACAATAAGCGCCTCCTTTTTCGAAGCATTGTGAGTAGCTATGATATCTCGGTGAGTATCAATACTCTTAGATTCACAGACTCTACGCCTGTCATTCGGGAGAGTTGGCACGCCTTGCTTTGGTGGTTCAGTTTCAGCTAAAAAGAAATTACCAGGTTGCTACTGGGACCTGAGGGTAGACTGAAACCTTCTTTATGACTCAAAAAGAACGACATAAGAACAGTGGCTACGATTAGTCATCGGAAAACGAAGTTGGCCAAGGTCCTAGCGTTCCGAGTCCCGCGCGAAGACGTATATCTACGTAGTTGTCGTGCAAATAATGTGCAAAGGAGGCCAAGAACAGATAATGCTTTCAAAAGATGACATTATGCAAGCACTGAAGTGCAAACCCTCGGCGCTTTACGCATGCCCGGCACCGCCAATTGATGGGCTGGGTTATGAGTATGCGTTTACTCCTGGTCTCCACGCTATATATAGTTGGTCGCGGAGAGTCTGACACGGGCTAGTTACACTATACTATAAGATAGCATCCCGATGCGGGAGGACCTCCGCAAGGTACAAAGAGGAAGCGGATCAGTCGAGGTAAGCTGGTGGAATATGCATATTAGGCTTTTTCGCTTGTTTTCACGGCATAGCTACGTACTTATGTCTCCAACGCAGTCGTTTCAGGAAAATAATTTTCATGCGTAGTTCTGAAGACGTTGGTATCGCTCATGGGCCGCCTTGAACCCTGTAGTGCGAGAATAGCTGCTGACAGACAGACAGACAGACAGACTGACGCACATACAGACCATTACTGTAAAAAGTTCAAAGTTCATTTTTGCAGGACCCGAGGGGCATATGCATACAGTCAAACAGTCAAACAGTAGTATAAACATGAAATCTGAAATTCCAGTCCAAATACGATAGAGCCCCCGCTCTGACTCCAACCGGAGCATAATCGACCAGATAGAGCCCACGCTCTGCTGGACAGCTGAACTTGGGTCGATGACTCGTAATCTCGGCAAATGACAGCCATATTTTCTGACTGCTGGTCAATGACACAGAACAGAGGTGAAAATCACCTCGTACGGAGGCACGGTCGCCATCTCTGCATGCGCTTATTAACCTGACGGCAAACTGACATGTGAACCCCTATACATTCTGGGTGGTGTGCATTAGGTAGCACGCTATCCGTGCCAACGCTTTCTCGCCGAGTTTTGCACGCCGGACCCGCGCCGCCGTCGATACTTTTGCTCATGCGCAGAATCCCTGCTACGCCCTGTATATACCTACACTGCGAGGAAATGAAAACACACGTGCAATCGAGAGATTGGCAGAGAAGCAAAGTAGCTAGTTAACCCTCGGCGCGCATGCGCAGCGAGGGTTAGAGTAAGCCACCGATAATCGGACGCCATGTATTCTCGGACGCATTTTTGAAGTCTGTGCAGGACTAGATTGGCTACTGTGTATACCAAAGTGTAGTTCTTAGTCATAAACTGTTGTATAAAAATATTCGCTCTTATCTGAGCTTTACCGTGGGAATGACGTTGCCGTAAAGTTACGATTCGGGCACAGCAAAGTTCGGACAAGGCCATCAAAGGTAGGACAGTCTCCCAAAACGGGAACAGTATGAATGATCCAAGCGAGTGTATGCTCGATTGATAGCTGTACCTTTTGGCTATGCAGCGACCCACAAATGGCCCTTTTTTGTCTTCGCTATTTTTGCTCATTATTGTGGATACTACACGCCAGTGGCCCTGCCCAGTGTGGAGTATCTTCTCCGGTTTGAACATCAAAGGTGTTGGTGAGCCCCAGGTTAACTAACCAATGGATTTCCTCTCTTATATAAGTATTTGTGCTGGATTAATTAAGATGAGGGATCCATGATGTTGGCCACTCACTTGTACTTGGTGCACAATTATCTCGGCATCTATCATAATAGGTGTATATAACATGCTCCTCTTCCTTCGTGAGATATAAGTTAATAGTTGAGGATGCACTGTTTTCTTTGGCATCTGTGATTGTTTGCTCAGGAGCATAGTCTATCGCCTGGTCTTTCCCTTCAATCTGTAAGAAATGGAAAATGAATAAAACCATTACTATTTGGCTCCCAAGTTCCCTAGCCCTAACCCCTCTTCGCCCTCTCAATCTTCTGGGCCCGGCGAAACAATTGCTATTTGCTACTCTGCTCAAGCTGTGCTTCAAATCACACAGAGTTGAGTGTACAATAGGCGCCTCCTTTTTCGAAGCATTGTGAGTATAATATCTCGGTGAGTATCAATACTCCTAGATTCACAGACTCTACTAGGGAGAGTTGGCACGCCATGCTTTGGTGGTTCAGTTTCAGCCAAAAAGAAATTGCCAGGTTGCTACTGGACCTGAGGGTAGACTGAAACCTTCTTTATGACTCAAAAAGAACGACATAAGAACAGTGGCTATGATTAAAACGACAAGTCAGGAAAACGAAGTTGGCCAAGGTCCTAGGGGACCGTGGCGTTCCGAGTCCCGCGCGAAGACGTATAGTTATCGTGCAAATAATGTGCAAAGGAGGTCAAGAACAGATAATGCTTTCAAAAGATGACATTATGCAATGAGAGAAAGAATGCAAAGCACTGAAGTGCAAACCCTCGGCGCTTTACGCATGCCAGGCACCGCCAATTGATGGGCTGGGCTATGAGTATGCGTTTACCACGTACGCTATAGTTGGTCGCGGAGAGTCTGACACGGGCTAGTTAAACTACTAGTGGAAATGTTAAACATTGTTGGCGAGCGGGAGCGACCCAACTGGGATTTGCCCGCGATGTTCGGGCTGCATATTACGTGCCGTGAGCAGCACACAGCTTTTCTTTCGTGAAGCAAGACAGATCTACCTGTCGCCGTTGCATGCGTATTGTACATCGACAGAACGGTGAGCAGGTGAGCAGAACGGTACGATGAGAGTTCTCTCGCTGGCTAGATCGATCGGCCCATATCGCGAGGCACCGTCTGTGTAAAAATTAGGAAATAAATCCGCGCATGCGCACTTACACGACGTACGCCGTCGTATACCGCTCGAACGAACGACTAGGTTGGCTCGCTCCCGCTCGCCAATAAGATAGCATCCCGATGCGGGAGGACCTCCGCAAGGTACAAAGAGCAAGCGGATCAGTCGAGGTAAGCTGGTGGAATATGCATATTAGACTTTTTCGCTTGTTTTCACGGCGAACGCAGTCGTTTCAGGAAAATCGTCATTTTGATTTTCATGCGTAGTTCTGAAGACGTTGGTATCGCTCATGGGCCGCCTCGAACCCTGTAGTGCTGCTGACAGACAGACAGACAGACAGACAGACGCACACACGGACCCATTACTGTAACCCTCGCTGCGCATGCGCGCCGAGGATCAGAGGTCTCAGAAACGAACCCTACTGTGACTCAGAAATTCTATGGTCCATGGTGTTGACTAGTTTGATTATTTACAACACTTACGTCTCTATACCTTCTTGGTGGTGTGCATTAGGTAGCCCGTTATCCGTGCCAGCGCGTTACATCTTTCTCGCCGAGTTTTGCACGCCGGACCTGCGCCGCCATGGATACTTTTGCTCATGCGCAGAATCCCTGCTACGCCCTGTATATACCTACACTGCGAGGAAATGAAAACACATGTGCAATTGAGAGATTGGCAGAGAAGAAAAAACCTTCAGCGCGCATGCGCAGCGAGTGTTACAGTAGAGTTTGTTTGTCTGTCTGTGTGTGTCTGCGTGTGTGTGTCTGTGTGTCGACGCATATTCTGGCACTACAGGCTACGAGGCGGCCTATTAGTGATACCAGCGGCTTTAGAACTACGCGAGCCTGAAAATAAAAGGGCGATTATCCTGAAACAACTGCGTTAGAGGGATATGCCGTGAAAACAAGCGAAAAAGCCCAATAATAATAATTATGCATAATCGTACTTGGCTTGCCGCGACCTGATCCGCTCGCTCTGTGTACCTTTGGGGATCAGAAAGTCACAACAAATGGCATGTATCGACTCCCGCATACTGTAGCTAGCCCGTGTCAGACTCGCGACGTGAGCAGTATCGCGTATGCGCAGCGCAGTTCGCCTAACCCTCGGCGCGCATGCGCAGCGAGGGTTACTGTAGTTGTGTCACATCTCACTTCTCCAATGTTCGTTCGTCTCACAAACGATACGACTTACTTAACGGCCAATGATGGTCAGAATTTTGTGCGGTTTTCTCTGAAAATGCTCCGTTGCAAAGCTAGAGCGCGAAAAAGCCAATATGCAAATACACAACGGCTTACCATGGTCCGATCGATCCGCGTGCTCTGCGTACCTCGGAGGTATATACCAGAAGATGCAACGCAGGGTGTGTATCGCCTCTCGCATGCTATCTAGTAGTGTAGTTAGTCCGCGTCAGACTCTGCGCGAGCTGGCAAGAGACCTCGAGTAACAACTACAACTAAACCCAGCCCATCAATTAGTGGTACGGCGCATGCGTTTGCTTACGCGTTATGTCACAATGCGCCGAGGGTTTGCACTTCAGTGCTTTTCATTAACCCTCGGCGCGCATGCGCAGCGAGGGTTACAGTAGTTGGGTTTGTCTGTCTGTCTGTCTGTCTGTTTGTCTGTTACTCTCAATCTCACTTCTCGGGTGTCTGTTCCTCCCAGAAACGATACCATCAGGCGACGAAGGTCAGAAAATAAAGGTGGTTTTCTCTGAAAATGCTCCGTTGCAGAGCTAGAGCGCTTCCACCATTGTACGGCTAATGCGTAGTCGGCCATTTTTATCGCTGCGGAAAATGCGCATGCGCTTATATCCTCGACCGGGTCCGCTTACTCTGTGTATCTTGAAGGCACAAGAAGTCACAACGAAGGGCGTGTATCGACTCTCGCATACTATCTACTACTGTAGCTAGCCCGTGTCAGACTCTCTGCGAGCTACTAGCGGGAGACCACGAGTAAACGCATACTAATAGCAGCCCAGCCCATCAATTAGCGGTACCACCAGATATAACTTGCATTGCAGCTCCGGTAGACACCATGCTATCTTCTAAAGGTGACAATTTATGGAGGGCATCAATGATGATCCGACCAATAATCCTTAGACTTATCAACTACTGGGGCTTTGATGTTGCAACTTACGATTCCGATGCTGTTGTTCTTAAAAACCCTCAAACGCTCTTTGAAAAGTATACTCATGACATTCTGTCTTCTGCCAGTAGCTATGTGGCCAGACTCTCAAGCTATACCATGGGGTTTCACTCTCTGTGCTGGTGCTATTTTATACAGAGCCACTTCTGCTACAGGTATTTATCTGTCTCTTTCTACCAATAATGTTGGTAGAACCATCTGCAATAGCAGGTTTTGTGTGGTTGATCATGAATGAAATGTGACTAGCTACTTCATTGCTCCTTCACATTTTCATGTATAGTGTGTTCAGTAGAGATGCACACATTATGCTGCCTGCCCATGACATAATATTCATAATAATAGTTTATCATGTATAAAATAATCCTTGACATAATATTATATATCTGTCCACGATTCTAAGTCATTTTCCATGCAGAAAGACATAGCTGATAATTAATCATAATGTCTTCCCTGCCCTATATAGAGACGTTTTGGAGATATTTGTCAAATGTAACTGGACGAGCTGACCAGGTGTCCTTAAATAAAGCCCTCAAGAACTTGAACATTTCTTGGAAGGAGACAACCAAAGTCAGTCAAGTATGTTCAACAGATGGCTGGGAGGGAGAGGCTGATGGTGGACTCAGGGTTTATGTCTTCCCACAACGATTATTCTGTCGAAGGAAATGCTGCAGTAGATTCAGGGAGGGGGTGTATGTTGTCCATCCTGGTGGTCATCACGGAGATGCTGGAGCAAAAAGTGATTCTCTTGCATGGGTTAATGCCTGGTTTGTATCAGTTGTGACAATCACAAACCGTGGCTAGCTAGCTAAACGAGTGTGTAGCCAATACAGAATTGATAATCTTGTGTGATTCTTTCAAAGAGAGTGGTTGGCAACTCTGGCATCTCATTGACTGCACATTCCTTGTAGCTAGCCTCCACAATATTATTATACTGCCTAACCACTACCGCAAAACAGTGAACAGAAGCCTCTGTGGCATGTCCCTTGTGCTCTCTATAGGGTGACACCTGACATGATTTGTAATGCTTACAGCTCTTAAGCGCTCCTTAGCCCTCTATGGTGAAATGTATAGCTAATGGGGTGAAGAAGGTGCTAGTGAAGGTGCCCCTGCCCACACAACTTAAAGGTCAAAAACTTGAAGTGATAAGAAAATAAAAAATCCTGTGAATTTATAAAAGAGAGGAATATAGGGATGGTATAAAAAGAAAGGGAGACAAGATAGGGATGTGATACATGAAGCATGGTTAATGAACAGATTTGAGCATGCTGACACCCCCAACCCCATCACACAATCTCTATATTTGCCTGGTGTGCTACTCTTATAGGGAATGTGGCATTATAAATAGCTAAGAGCTAAAGGTTACTAAAAGCAAGCATTCTTTCACCGTCTCCCTATTGTTTTTGATAACATTTCTACTTTTATACTGCCACATTCCCTTTAATTAAACTCCACTTTGACTCTATAACAGTGTTGGCTACTCATTTCTACTTTTATACCGCCACATTCCATTCCACTTTGACTCTATAACGATGTTGATTACTCAGTACTATGTAAGTTCTGAGTATTGTAATGGTGAATGTTTAATACTTCACCTAGGCAACATTATAGGGATTGTGTGATGGGGTTGGGGGTGTCAGCGTGCTCAAATCTGTTCATTAACCATGCTTCATGAACAAAATACACCATGTGATGCCAAGAGAAAAAAGATGGGAGCTCTGGACAGCTGTTTCGGGCCTGTTGGCCCTCATCAGCATAGCATACCACAACTTCTCTCTCTGGTATCCCATCCCTATCTTGTCTCCCTTTCTTTTCCCTATAATATATGCCTCTTTTTTAAATTTGCAGGATTTTTTATTTACTTGTCTCCACTCATTTTTATATACATATAATAATTATCTCTGTGAAAGGGGGCAAGCCCCCTATATATAATAATTAACAATAGAGAAAAATACCTGTTGTCGTCATGGAAATCATGTAATACGCATGCGTACCAAGTTTCATCTCCATGTGTGCTGCTGTTAGCAAGTTTGAGGAGTGAACAAGTAAATGCCTGAGGCTATTTGTTATTCAAATAATATGTGGTTGTCATGGAAACGATGTCATATGCATTCGTACCAAGTTTCATCTCCATGAGTGCTACCGTTAGCATGTTTCAGGTGTGAAAAGTGCCTGAAGCTATAATATGATGTTGTTCAAATAATAATATGTGGTCGTCATGGATCCCACCCAGGGGCAGCTCTTCTTCTTTTGAAAATAAAGAGCTGTCCTGGGTGTAGTTGACTTGTTTGCCTTGCTTTTCTACCTAATTACCAAGTTGCTGAGACATGCATATACTCGGTTTGGAGTTGGGCATCTTCGGTGGTTTGATTACCCCGGTCTGCTCCTACATACTGAGTGAGAGTTTACTGTGCCATAGCACAGTGGTTTGAGGTTTGCCTTGTGTTGTATTGTGTTGTGTGTAGATTCGAACCCCTACCAGCTGAGTTGCCCTGGTAGCTCAGTTGGTAGAGCGCTCACCTAGACTGCAGAGTATCGTGGGTTCGAATCCCACCCAGGGCAGCTCTTCTTCTTTTCTTTGAAAAGAAAGACCTGTCCTGGGTGTAGTTGACTTGTTTGCCTTGCCTTGCCTTTCTACCTCGTTACTAAGTTGTTGAGACATGTATGTGGTGTGTTCCATAATGAACATCATGGCCATAATATGGATCCTCGTGCACGCACAACGCTCCGCGTTCTAGTGTGTGTGTCTTTACATGTCTTGTGCAACAAAGAAGATTTGTGTATAGTTTGTGAAAAATGTATGGGGAAATGACTCAAAACTAGATGCAGTAAACACTTGAAGCAGTTCACACACGTTAAATGTTTATTCAGCACGTCTGTCGGGAAAGCCCAGAACAGGCTCTCTAAGTTGCGGCTGTTCCTCCTGCCGCTGGCTATCGTCTGGCGCAGGGATCATATCCCGGAGACCCAGTGAGCTTGTGGGTGCCACTGGTGTTGCCTCTAGTTGTGAATATCCAGTCTGGTATTCTTCCTCTTGGCTGTGTAGCTCCCCGGTTGCTCCTCCATCGCCCTCCCTCCTCCCTATCTTGGCTGTGATAATATCTATTACTTTTCCTAGCTTCAGGGCCTGGGTAAGCCTCACTAACACCTTGTGTTTGACTGTCTTGTTCCTGTGGAGCTTCTTAATCAAGTGCCACATGATGATTCCTACATTTGTGAGTAAAGTTAAGCTCAGGGATAAAGTTACCAATATCTCATGATTTTGGTTCACCTCCCCATTCTGGTTGGTGTACAAAGCTCCGAGGGTGAGAGAAATGAGGTTGAGGAGGAAGGATAAGTCGAGAATAGCCACTCCAAGACTCTTGAACGGACGAACGTAGGCTTGAATGACAGAGAACCCCACCAGAAGGCTGAGTTCAAGGGTGAGAGAAAATTTATGGTTGTCTGTGCCACGGTTGGCAATGATGGCGTAGATGACGGAGGTAAGAATGAGACGTGCCCCAAACCAGAATCGTAGCTTGTGTTTATACGGAGCAAGGGTTGCATCAACGTAGGCATTGAGTCGAGTGGAATTCACACACTGCTGAATGTGGGTGGAGAATGTAAAGAACGCCATGTAGGGCAGAATGAAGCCAACCAGTGTGAGAAATCCCAGGAGAACGAGGAAGATAGAGATGGGGTTACTGATCTCCTGAGTCCCATCAAAAAACCATACAACTTTATCATCTTCACCTTCTGAGACAATAGTGACAAAGGTGAAGGTGCCAATCACAGTGCGAAACAGTTTCAGGAAGGAGATGTAGAGCATGCTCACGAGGACGTGAATGCCGTCAAGTTGGGAGATGATTCGTTGCATTCGGAGTGAGCGCTGACTGACAGCGATTATGAAAACTATCATGATTATGATGTAGGTAGGGAACACATATTGTAGACCTGCCTTGGCAGATTCTGTCATGCTATCATAGAAACACAGTGGAAATCCAACGTCTAGGTTGACCCATGACAGAAACCAGAAGAGAAGTCCCCTCTGGTTCCCCTGAAAGAAGATGTTGGCATTGACCATCACAATGTTGGAGTAAAAGAAGAGGCCATTAATAAGTCCATGGGTGATACTGATATCAAGAAGGAAGGCAGCAATTACCATTAGCACTCCTATCAGTGCAAATAAGATTAGAGAAGCCAGCCAGCTGCTGGAGCATTTCCGGCACTCGGCTGTGCCAAACACGGAACTGAGACCTTCCTTGCAGGCACCACAGAGAGTGCCTGTCCTTCCCTCCATGCAGAGCTGATCCGACACCCTCAGGTCAATATCAGTCACGTCTTCTCTGCAGTAGTTGATGGGGCAGGTCGACACAAACTGAATGACGTGACCGCCATTAGCCACAGATTGTGTGCCCACCCAGTAGTTGGTGGGTCTAGTGATTGTCATATCTGTGAGGTTACAGGTCGACTTTAGCCTTGTCTCAATGAACCGACTGCACAGACATGAGAGTCTATTGCTGCCATCAGTGGAACCCAGGACAAAACCAGGGGGACAAGTGGTTGTTTTTACCTCCACTCTCGCCTTACGGCCACCTATGGTAGCGTAAAGATCAACAAAGAGTGTGATATTCTCGGGAGCAAAGACCGTGAACTCCACACGACTGCACGTAGTGAGCCCCGGGAGTGGTCGAACTTGCTGGTTGGTATCAAGTTCCACGTGATTAGAAGAGTTTACAGGTAGAGGATAAGAATATAGAAATGATGCCACAGGACTCAGGGCTGCGTCTAAAGAATTCAGAAACAGGTTAAAGGTGCTTCCCGGGGTTATTGGATGGTCTAATCTGTAGTATTTGTAGGCACAGCGTGAACTAAGTGTGTCATTTAGTGAGCAGAGACATATCCATTCTTCGACCGAGTTGAGTTCAGAAAGTTGGTTCCCAACTGTCTCTCGAAAAACAAACATCTCGTTGTAAAGAAGTGCTTGCTTAGTATCAAAATTGGCATGGTCTATGGAGGTGGTAGGAATGAACTGACAGCCGTAGAGTGGGTTTCCAAAGATGGAGTTTCCGGCAATCTGAGCACTGTTGTTTGAAAAGGTAACAGAGATGTTAAGAAGTTGCAGGTCCTCATGATTAATTCTTAATTGTTTCTCTGCAAAGAACTGTATGGCACATGTAACAGTGACAGACGACCCAAAAGTATTTGCATAAATGGCACCTCCTCTTCGAAATGCTGTGTTCCTTGTGAAGGTGATGTCAGAGCTGTTGTGAATGAAGAGAATAGAGCCGTCCAGCAAGTTGAGGGCACCTCCCCTGTATCCATGATTATCTTCAAAGGTTATCTTTCCACGGAGGACCACTTTTGTCCTCACTGCTGTGAACGCACTCCCGTTGTTTGTAGTAAAAAGACTGCCATTTCCCTCCGTTCCAACTAGTGTAATATTAGAGCCGTGACTAACTACAAATATCCCAAAATCTTCTCGAGGATTCAAGAGCGTTGCTCCAGGGAAAGTATTACCCGAAGCCATTATATCTTCCATGTATATATAGGCTCCTCTGCTACTGACTAGTGATTGAAACTGGAAGGCGTAAAGAGCTGATCCAAAATTAGCAACGTTGCCAGTGAATGTTGTGTTTCTAATCAAAAATCGTATATCAGACACATTCTGCTGTGTCATATAGAACGTGAGTGCTCCTCCAGAGTATGCCACATTGCGGCTAAAATTTGAGTTGCATACTTCCACCAGGTCATGAATACCACCTTGGGACTGTGGGAGGGAATGAAGGTAGTCAAAAAACAGGGCAACTATGACCATGAATCCTGCACCTCTACTCCTCGAACCCTTCACCTTATTGTCACTGACAGTCAATCCTTCAACCCGTACTGTGCTCATATGTATCGTATTGTAGTACAGAACAAAGAAATTGGCGACATTACCTTCATTGTAAAGGATGCTGGTATGACTGATTTTTATTCCAACAAGAAAACTTTTCTGGCCTGTGTATACAGCAAGGGAGAGTCCTCCTGTCATTAGTATACGTTCTGTTTTATATGCCACAATGATAAGTCTGTTCAGCTCTGCAAGGACAGTGTTGGATGATATCATATTAGTGTTGTTAACAAAGAAGCAGTTTGTTATGAAAAGAGAGGTTGTGTAATTGTGACCGACTTTTGCCAGCTCTTCTGTAATGCTTGTGTCAGTATAGATGAATACAATACCACTGCCTGCAGGACAACGCCTATAGCTTTTTCCTCTACAGTTGGCCGGGTTATTGGTTCCAGTCACTGATACTGCTTTTATCACAGTTTCACCCAGTGGATTTATGAAGAGAAAACCAAACCCGAGACATCTATCAATACTAACATCCTCAAGTGTTACATCACTAGAGTGAGTGATGATTACAGCTGCCTTCTGGAGTGGGCCAAGGTAGGCAAAGGTGTTGTTGACGTCACCAGGCAATCCACTGGGTACCTCCCTACCACAATTGACAATATCAACGTGGGAGAGGTGGAGGTTGGAAATATTTAAGAAGGCAATCCCTCTTCTTGTCTGAGTCTCACTCTCACAGTAGATGACAGTTCTGGGCTGGGCCTGCGTGCCCCGAATCATGAGATTCTCGAGGTTCTGGAGGAGACAGAAGGGGCCCTCCTCGAGGTGGTGGACACCTCCCGAGAGCTGTAGGGTTGTGCCCGAGACCAGTTCCCTGTGGCCCAGGCCACACAGGTGGTACTGAAGACTGGTGTTAGAGCCTGGTGCAGAGTTGGCGTCGATACTCAGAGTTACTGCTGACTGCTGGGAGTGAGCTCCAGGCGACAGCAGTGAGGTGGAGAGGAAGAGGGCCAGAAACAGGCGGGGGACAGAAGTGGCTGATCTTCCCCCCGCACCAGCACCAACAGAGGTAGAGGGTGCTCGCATTGTACACAAAAGTTGAGGGTAATAATGGACGTACAGTGAACGTTAAAGGAATCGAAGATGGCCTTCTACTTTCACTTCACACTTACTAGTTCGAAGTTGCAATCACACTAAGGTATAAAGTACTGTCATGCAGCTGTGCATCGCCTTGTGTGCATGGAAGTCCATGTACATAAACAGTAAACGATACATAAACACTAACGGGCAAAGGAAAACAAGCCACTTTCAATGACAATCCCAAACATGGTACAGAAATAACAGCGGAAAAAGGAGGGAAAGGATAGAAGTGAATAGTTCGAATAGTTTATGAAAGTCAACTTTAAAACTAGCAAAAAGCATACGACTCCATTTTTTTTATTATTCCACTCCAATTATTATGAACCTTCTACAAGTTAGATTGTTATTCAGCTTCACGTAGGCTATTTCTTCACCAAACATCATCACCATAAAAGTAGCTATATATTCATTTACAACATTTGTTATTAAGACAGTGCGCAGGATTGAAGAAGGGTGTGGCTACCGACTGGAGACGGCAGGAGTGTGTATAGCTAGATAGAGTCCTCCTAGAGTTGATGGGCTGCCTCAAGCGACTGGCGTCGCTGTGCGGGCGGCATTCTCAAAAATTCAGCGCATGAGGTGCAATGGCAAATGAAAAGCACTGAAGTGCAAACCCTCGGAGAACTGCGTATGCGCGGTACCGCATGGATGGGCTGGGCTATTGGCGTTTACCGCGGTCTCCCGCTAGTAGCTTGCGTAGAGTCTGACACTGGCTAGCTACAGTAGTAGATAGCATGCGGGGAGTCGATACACACCCTTCGCTGTGGCTTCTTGTGCCTCCAAGGTACACAGAGCAAGCGGATCAGGCCGAGGTGAGCCAGGATTATTATTATTATGCGTAATCGCGCGCATGCGCACCGCTTATTGATGGGTTGGGCCACGCAACGCTGTCCGCGACCGTGTCAATAAAAAATTTTTTTCCTGCCGGACAGCAGGAAGTTACCAAGAGAATGACATCGTCGGCGCACCGCTCCCATCTTTAAAAACCTTCACGACCGTCGCCACGAAGCGCAATCATCAGCGCATGCGCGCCTCCCCAACTATGGGCTCAAACGACATTGCTCACAAGTGCGCATGCGCGCAGTGGCGGCGTTTGCTGCAATATGCGTCAGGAATCAAAACGACAAAAAAATAATAACGTTCGCTTTCCAGAAAAAGAAACAACAATTAAACAATGTGCTGTGTAAAAAACAGCAAAGGGGATACAAGTATTATCAAATGGCGTGCATGTATTTAGATATCGCGAGTATGGTGACAGAGATGTGTCTGTCTTCACTGCATGGCGTGCAGGAGGTCCACCAGTTGAGCAGCTGTCGGACGTCGATCTCTGTCTATGTTCAGACACTGTCGGATGAGGTTCAAGAGTCTGGGGTGGTCGATGGACTCCATCAGCTCAGCACGACGTTCAGGAGCAGGGAAATCACACGTATACATCTCCACCAAGAGCACACCGAAACTGTAGATGTCCATCTTGGGTGTCTGGAGAGCAGGGTTGCGGGACTCGGGGGCAGTGTACACTGGACTGCCGGGATTCTCGGTCTGAAGCTGACTCTGGAAGTTGGCGGTGCCGTAGTCAGAGACTTTGGCGAGCCAGCCTCCGTCGGGAGAGGGCTGGAGGAGAACGTTGGCACTGCTGAGGTCCCTGTGGATCATGGGGTCGGGGCTCATGTTGTGGAGGTAGTTGAGGGCACGGGCCACGTCAATTGCGATGGAGAGGACGTGTTCCAGAGGAAGACGTTGTCGTGGACGTCTGTTGACCAGAGCTCTGAGACTAGTTGGCATGAACTCTGTCAGAATGGCCATGCCTCCCTCCAGTCTGGCTCCGAGGTAACGCAGCAAGTTGGGGTGGCTGACTCTGGCTGCTACGTCCATTTCTCGTCTGAACAGATGACGGTGGTAGTCGTAGATCAACTGGCTGTGCAGACATTTTGCTGCAACTTTGAGTTTGGCCACTTTCACCACAGCCCACCCTCCGATTCCGAGAGTTTCCTCCGTTTCCTCCAACTCGTCTTCCTTCACTTCCCATGACGGACATCGCTGCTCGGCTGCAATGGCTTGCTCTTGAACCACCACCTTCTCGTGTTCCCTCTCCTCAACCTCCTCCAGCCTCTCCTGCAGCTGGTTGGCTCTTGCTCGACATCGCTGCAGCTCCACCCTCACCCTCTCCCTCTCTTCCTCCAACACCCTTACCCTCTGCCTTTCCCTCTCCTTCTCCTCCCTTTCTCTGTCCCTCTCCCTCTCCAGTTGTCTTCTCTCCATTCCCGCCGTCTCACCCTCTCCTGTGGATTGCTGCCAGCTCTCTGCTGTGTAGCGGAATTTCTCAATCATTCTCTTTTGTGATCCATGTTGCGTGTTGCCAACTACAGAGAGTAGCTCCCATTGGGACTGTCCAGAGCTTTCCACTAGTCCTGAATAAGATTATTCTATGTTATATATAATTGGCATTTTATATAGAGGTTTTATGTGTGATCAGTAGCTACGATTTGCCTGAGCTGTTTAGGGTGTTTATCCTCACTGAACTGGAGCAGAGTTGTGTCTGCTATTTTAGGTTGAGTCTCATTAGATCCAGCCCACTGCTCAGAAGTCCCTCCAAACTCCACAACCTCTGTCAGTCCTGGAGCCAGACTGAAGGCAGTGAGAGAGTGAGCAAAGCGAGCCTTCAGAGTAGGCCTCTCCTAGACACGCATGTTGTGAGAGAATGTCAACAGTCATGTGTCTAATAATCGGGGATAAGTTAGGCTTGTCTTACCTTTCTCCATTTCCCTCTGTCTATATCAAGAATCCAGACATCTTCTAGTGGCTGTCTCCGTCTGTCCGCTCCCCCAGTCACCAGTAGTTGAGGGAACTGCTGGCCATAGTTGAGACAACAAGCTGCATGACCGGACCTCTCCTCTGGCCAAGGTCCACCTCCTGATTTGTTGAGTTTGCTCCATTTCTGGAATAATACACACCATTACGTAGACAGTGGAATCACCCCCAAAATTTCACACCCTAAAAAAGTGAAGTGTGTAGCAGGGTCGGTCAACTCTGCTGCCAGTCAGAGAAACAAGCAGTGGAAATGGTACTGGTGCACATGCATTTCTTTTGTGTAGCAGCAGAAAACGTGAGACCAAACAGTACTACCGTCACTTTGTGCTACCACTACACAACACCCACTGAGGGAGTGTGGTGATCTAGTTTTATAAAGGACATTCCGAAATAAAAGGACACATTTTCAATATTTAATTTGCATGGTCCCAACATGTCCTTTGAATACCATAGTGGAGAGGTCAATGATGTAGACATCATTCATTTTGCCTTTCTCTCTATTTTTTCCTCCAAACACGACTGCCCTCCTGTCATCTACTGCGGTGAAGGTGTGGCTACTACATGGAGGAGGTCTCTCTCCAGTGGTGGCAGGACAGCTCCACACACCTGCAGTGAAGATAGAGGAGACAATCAAATAGACGCACAAATGATTTTTCTTGTGCTAAATTTTAATAGAAGCTAGCTATTTATACGTGCCAGTAGCACCCATACTCAACGTAGACTGCTTACTTCTAAACTCATTACGTAAACCGGGCAGAACATAATTACACTTCATACCTTCTGAGAGATTGTAGATATGAAGCTCATCAGTCCACCCAAAGTCATCAGTGAATGTTGTACTCTGCATAAATGATTGAGGTTCTGTAGGTCCTCTGGGTACTCCATATCCACCAAGCACTACCAAACTGTTTCTAAATGCTATCACTGCACATAAAGTCTTAGGCATAGGAGCTCCGTCTGCATTCTGAGGAGACACTTGACTCCAGCACCACGTCTTAGAGTCCAGTCTGTGAAGAGTGTTCAAGCGTTGTCTGCCATCAGTCCCTCCAAACGAGAAAAGGTCGCCACAGAGTGATGCACTGGCTGCAGCATACGTTCCAGGCGACGGAGCGTCTCCTTCGACTTGTCTTTGCTCCCACAACTCAGAGTAGGGGTCGAAGATCTCTACGACGGAGCTCAACTGTTGCCTGCTCTTGTCTGAGAAGTCATTTGTCCATCCTCCCTGCACTACCACTTTGCTACCCACACGTCCTGAGATGTGACACGCTCTTGGCAATGGCTCGTACTTGGTAGAGGACCCAGTCAACCGAGCGAGAAGAGTTGAAGCCATTAGGGTAAGAAGGGCGGGGGACATATGTGGGGGCGTGGCTCAAAAACCGATGATGATATGGCATGGCAGCCACTGGGCGAGACGGCTTAGAGCCTCAAGGGGAAGAATCTGCAGCTAGCAAGAAGAGTGTTGCTACTCCTCAAAGCTCCACGAACACAGCAGCATACGAGGGAACCTCTCCCCGATCCTCGCCGAAACGCGACGGAAAAGGACCGCAGCGCCGAAAGACAGATCGCAAGCCTACGCTGAAACGTGGCTGTTGAATTCACTGAAAAGGAAAGGGACGGTCGACCTCGAAACGTCCGATTTCTCTTTCCACCAGCCTTCGTGAGTCTCTCCAGTGGCAAGGAAGAAAGGGAGTCCTTCACTTGAGCTCCACAAGACCTTCAAGCGACATTCTTTTGTTGACGTTGGGGTAGGATAGTTGTAGCTCAGAAGAAGGTGTAGGCTTGTAAAGGGCTTGTAACTGAATACATGAGAACATGTGTTTGCTTATAGCGCTACTGCATGCTTTTCTCTCTCCTCTTTTTCTTCCAGACTGTCAAGGCTGCTATTGAAGAGGTCTTCCATCAGAAATAAGAGTGAGCCAGATAGAAATTTTGTGTAGAGTGGGGAGTTCTTTTTCGTGATGAAGAATAGCTGGACTTAGCTAATTTTGGTCTTTTTTCCTGCATTTTCCCTGCATTTTTCTTTGGCTGGGTTGACAATACGTCACATTGCCCCATTGCGCCTTGTGCATCAGCACATACTACTGCAAAGATGATAAAGTTTTCGTTTCTTTCACTTCCTACATTTTCTCGCCACATTGTTTCTTATCCTCCCAGGGTGGCACACCTCTCCACTACTATGTATGGACAGACTCTGTCAAGGACGACAAGACCGACTTCTTGGTCTCTCTTTTGACCACTGCTGAGGTGGAGGTTGACTGTAGGACTGAAGATGGCAATACGCCCCTACATCTGGCTGTGAAGGTGTATATACCATTGACATGCTTGTTGTGATAGTTTTGTGCCATAAGCCAGTAAGATCACTTGCTCGGAGGGGCGGGTGACAATATGGCTGAAATGCTAGTGAATTATAAGTGATTTTCAGGCCTTGTTGTCACAACTTAGTAACATATTCATTATTCCTCCTCCATACAATGGTTAAACCGATGTACTGAGAGAGGGTCTGAGAGAATGAGAGGTAGAGGTTTGAGTATGAACAGCCCACTCTCAGCGATTTAAGGTGTTTCAGAACACCATCAAAGACTTGCTTGTGCGTCAGGCGCCGTCTCTCCCAGCGATCAGAACCATGTTAGTAAGTGCAGGGACGTTACAGCTCTATTCGCCACAGAAAGGAGACGTGGAGGCAGTGAAAGTCCTCCAACAACAGTGGCCAGACTCCACTCGACATAGCCCAGAAGACCCACCCACCACCGATCAACTTCCTCCCATCTGCATCACGGGGACAGCCCCCTCCCATCGAAGATCATCCCGCTTCGGGTACGCTCATCGACTCTACAAGAAGACGAGCTACTTCGTCGTGCCTTTGATGATACGCTCAACGTCCTCCACGCCGCGGGAGTGATGAGCCGACACAAACTCCAGCAGTCCTCATCCAACCAATCTCGAGCTGCAAGGTTCCGTTGATTGTACTCACCGTAACGAGAAGTAAAACTTTGCAGCCACCGATTCATTTTATACGCTCAGTATCTATACTTGCAAACCCTCATCTCCACCGGTAGCTGACAACACGTGCTCCCATATGATGTTCTGCCTCATGCGCTGACTGCTAACCCTCCTAAGCAGTAAATACGAATTGTGAACGCATGGGTTATGACACACACACGCGACGACCAGAACTGCGCCGCATTGCGCTCTACGTGAGGGATTCCCCTCCGCCCGTCGTCGCGTACACAGGGGAACATTACTAGTGGAAATGTTCAACATTGTTGGCGAGCGGGAGCGACCCAACTCGGGATTTGGCCGCAATGTTCGAGCTGCATAACGTGCCGTCAGCGCAGAGCTTTCCTTTCGTGAAGAAAGACAGATCTACCTGTCGCCGTTACATGCGTATTGTACATTGGCAGAACGGGGAGCAGGTGAGCAGAACGGCATATACTTACCTTACGCTTTCAGCTCGTCAGTCGTGGTCCACCAGGCAGCTGGCATGCAGCAGTATGTGCACGAGCAATCCTAGCGTATTTGCAAGTTGCCTTGGAACCATGAAGATTTGGAAGAGGTACAGCCTCGGTCAGTCACCGAAGGTTGCAGCGCATGCCGTCGAATGGAGGAGAGTACTGGCTAGATCGATCGGCGCATATCGCGAGGCACCGTGGTCGAAAAAGCGCGTACACAGCCGCGCGTGCACACTTACACGACGTACGACGTACGACTTACGATAAATAGTAGGTGAATATTTGGCGAGCGGGAGCGAGCACACAATGACTGTATCTGCACGAGCCATCATAGCAGCGTGTAGAAGCGCGTTATCCTGACTCATGCGCAGGTAGCACTTGTGAAATGAAAAGCACTGAAGTGCAAACCCTCGGCGTAAGTAAACGCATGCGCCGTACCACTAATTGATGGGCTGGGCAGTTATAGCTGTTACTCGTGGTCTCTTACCAGCTCGCGCAGAGTCTGACGCGGGCTAACTACACTACTAGATAGCATGCGAGAGGCGATACACGCCCTGCGTTGCATCTTCTGGTGCCTCCCAGGTACGCAGAGCAATCATGCCATAGTAAGCCGTTGTGTATTTGCATATTGGCCTTTTCCCGCTCTAGCTTAGCAACGGAGCGTTTTCAGAGAAAACCACACATATTTCCTAACCTTCATTGTCCGTTCAGTAGGTGGTATCCTTTGTGAGACGAACGAACACTCGAGAAGTGAGATGACGAGTAACAGACAGACACACAGACACACAGACACACAAACCGTAACCCTCGCTGCGCATGCGCGCCGAGGGTTAATGAAAAGCGAACTGCGCATGAGCGGTATCGCTAATAGCTGGGCTGGGCTATTGGCGTTTTTACCCGCGGTCTCCCGCTAGTAGCTCGCGAAGAATCTGACACGGGCTAGCTACGGTAGTAGATAGCATGCGGCAGTCGATACACGCCCTTCGCTGTGGCCTCCAAGGTACACAGAGCAAACGGATCAGGTAGAGGTGGAGCCAGCATACCGCGTTGATCGTGTCTATACGCATGCGCACCGCTTAATGATGGGTTGGGCCTCGGAACTCGGTCCGCGACCGTGCCAGTTTGTCGCTCTCGAACGCAGTCGTTTCAGGAAAATCGCCTAATAGGTTTTCAAGTTCGCGTAGTTCTGAAGCCGTTGGTATCGCTCATTAGCCACTTCGTGGCCTGTAGTGCCAGAATAAGCGTCGACACACACACACACGACAGACAAACCAACCCTCGCTGCGCATGCGCGCCGAGGATTAAAAAAGGAAGCCGCGCATGCGCACTTACACGACGTACGCGGTCGTACGTATAGTGCCGTTCGGATCACTAGGTTAGCTCGCTCCCGCTCGCCAATTATACAGAAAATTCCGCTCGAACGAACGACTAGGTTGGCTCGCTCCCGCTCGCCAATAATGTGGCAAACACCCTATTTCTATACTTGATGCATTCACAATTGCATGTGACCGTGCAACTGCGAGAGCTGCAGGCAGAAGTATATACAATAACGATTACTAGTAGGCGAATGCATGGCATTTTTGGCGAGCGGGAGCGAGCACACAATGATTGTATCTGCATTAGCCTATTTACAACTTGAACCTTAGAACCACGAAGATTGGAAAGAGGTATATACAGCCTCGGTCAGGTATTGAAGAGCGCAGCGAATGCCAGCGAATAGACGAGAGTTCTTTCGCTGAGATTTCGCTGAGATTTCGCATCAATATGACAGCTAGGCAGCGTATGAAGAATATGCGCGTTCCCTGCTCAGGAGTCTCACTGACATGATGTTCTCTTTCCCTCTCTCTTCGACCAATGGCATCCTCTCTGAGACTGATACACACACATCAGGCAGCATGTGAAATTTTGAAATGATTTCGGATAAAAAGAAGCGCGTAATCCTGGAGCATGCGCACTTACACGACGTACGCGGTAAATCGCGCCACTAGGTTAGCTCGCTCCCGCTCGCCAACAACAACACTAAACACCAGACACACAACAACGCAACACCATACACCAGATAATGATTTAGAGATTTATTTAGAGCACCTTCTATCAAAGTACTCAGGGGAAAAAACCACACTCAGCCAAAAAACCATAATCTGTGAGGGAAAAATTGAGAGTGTGGAAAAAAACCCGCTAGCTACACCTAAACATGTACTATCAGTCCGTCTCCGACAAATAGCAGCTGCTTGCTGTACCTTCACTGCTCTTTCCATGACAATGGTTCCAAAATAATCCTTGTGGCACAACACTCCTGTATAGCTGTCTCCATATTGTGCCTGCAAAGTAAGCACTCAGCAGAACAACGGAATTTATGCACAACATACTCACCATAACCACCAGTAAAGAAAAAATTTCTTTCTGCCAGACAGCAAGAAGTTGCCAAGAGAATGACATCGTCGGCGCACCGCTCCCAACCCCGTCGCCACGAAGCGCAATCATCAGCGCATGCGCCCCTCCCCAACTATGGGAGCTGCGCTCAAACGACATTGCTCACAAGTGCGCATGTGCGCAGTGGCGGGAATATTATGCTTTGCGTTTGCTGCAATGCGTCAGGAATCAAAACGACAAAAAATAATAACGTTCGCTTTCCAGAAAAAGAAACAACAATTAAACAATGTGCTGTGTAAAAAACAGCAAAGGGGACACAAGTATTATCAAATGGCGTGCATGTATTTAGATATCGCGAGTATGGTGACAGAGATGTGTCTGTCTTCACTGCATGGCGTGCAGGAGGTCCACCAGTTGAGCAGCTGTCGGACGTCGATCTCTGTCTATGTTCAGACACTGTCGGGTGAGGTTCAAGAGTCTGGGGTGGTCGATGGACTCCATCAGCTCAGCACGACGTTCAGGAGCAGGGAAATCACACGTATACATCTCCACCAAGAGCACACCGAAACTGTAGATGCCCATCTTGGGTGTCTGGAGAGCAGGGTTGCGGGACTCGGGGGCAGTGTACACTGGACTGCCGGGATTCTCGGTCTGAAGCTGACTCTGGAAGTTGGCGGTGCCGTAGTCAGAGACTTTGGCGAGCCAGCCTCCGTCGGGAGAGGGCTGGAGGAGAACGTTGGCACTGCTGAGGTCCCTGTGGATGATGGGGTCGGGGCTCATGTTGTGGAGGTAGTTGAGGGCACGGGCCACGTCAATTGCGATGGAGAGGACGTGTTCCAGAGGAAGACGTTGTCGTGGACGTCTGTTGACCAGAGCTCTGAGACTAGTTGGCATGAACTCTGTCAGAATGGCCATGCCTCCCTCCAGTCTGGCTCCGAGGTAACGCAGCAAGTTGGGGTGGCTGACTCTGGCTGCTACGTCCATTTCTCGTCTGAACAGATGACGGTGGTAGTCGTAGATCAACTGGCTGTGCAGACATTTTGCTGCAACTTTGAGTTTGGCCACTTTCACCACAGCCCACCCTCCGATTCCGAGAGTTTCCTCCGTTTCCTCCAACTCGTCTTCCTTCACTTCCCATGACGGACATCGCTGCTCGGCTGCAATGGCTTGCTCTTGAACCACCACCTTCTCGTGTTCCCTCTCCTCAACCTCCTCCAGCCTCTCCTGCAGCTGGTTGGCTCTTGCTCGACATCGCTGCAGCTCCACCCTCACCCTCTCCCTCTCTTCCTCCAACACCCTTACCCTCTGCCTTTCCCTCTCCTTCTCCTCCCTTTCTCTGTCCCTCTCCCTCTCCAGTTGTCTTCTCTCCATTCCCGCCGTCTCACCCTCTCCTGTGGATTGCTGCCAGCTCTCTGCTGTGTAGCGGAATTTCTCAATCATTCTCTTTTGTGATCCATGTTGCGTGTTGCCAACTACAGAGAGTAGCTCCCATTGGGACTGTCCAGAGCTTTCCACTAGTCCTGAATAAGATTATTCTATGTTATATATAATTGGCATTTTATATAGAGGTTTTATGTGTGATCAGTAGCTACGATTTGCCTGAGCTGTTTAGGGTGTTTATCCTCACTGAACTGGAGCAGAGTTGTGTCTGCTATTTTAGGTTGAGTCTCATTAGATCCAGCCCACTGCTCAGAAGTCCCTCCAAACTCCACAACCTCTGTCAGTCCTGGAGCCAGACTGAAGGCAGTGAGAGAGTGAGCCCAGCGAGCCTTCAGAGTAGGCCTCTCCTAGACACGCATGTTGTGAGATAATGTCAACAGTCATGTGTATAATAATATGGGATAAGTTAGGCTTGTCTTACCTTTCTCCATTTCCCTCTGTCTATATCAAGAATCCAGGGTTAGCTCGTTATCAGGATGTTTTCCCCAGGGAACAAGGGTAGAGCGGAGGCAGCATTTTGTGTGTCTTCTCGCATAACTGCCAGATGTTGTGCTGATAATTTTATTATAGTAGCTCGTGACATCGTTACCCCCACGTCAGCTCATTCCTACGTTGGCGCCAGTATATATAAGCATTGTTGACTGGTGCCTTAATGTTGCACACCAACACTTTTGACTGTGGGAGGGTTTGAATTTTCCAAGAAACAAGTTGATACTGCCATGTAGGCAGGCAGGTTTGGTGCCACACGGCTGATCACGAACCACTTTGCACATTTGACTCTGCATGCTAAACCAGACATTAATGGAAGGATAACTATTGCTTTCTCTCTGGTGAAACTATACCAAGTCCCCAATACTCACAGCACTAGAGTCAAAAACGCCAAATTCCTGGTTTTAATCAGGATGGGCTTATTGCAAGTAAAGCGAACATACTTGTGTCTTATAAGTAGCACGTTTTGCACCTTGACATAGGGCAGGTCACACTTATTGACTTGCTTGCATTCGGTCACTAAACATGAATGACTCTGTGTGTGTATTTCTTTGGGTATGCACTAAAACATACAGATAAAAAGTACAGAAGAATACAGATAAGCCTTCATTCAGAACTAGCTAATATATACAGGCTTGCCTTGTGTGATGAATTTTTCCTGAGAGTGAGAGGCACATTTCCATGTGCCTGTGGGTGCAAACTCAAACACACTAGTTAGTCACTGGGTGTTTAGCTACCCAGAAAAACACGAACTTCCAACTAAGAAAGAGCTGCCCTGTTACTTCGAACCATGAGGATGTCCAGCTGTCCTAGAGTATAATACAGTCCTGTGCATACCAATATCGATATGTTGCTTGCTTTGACGTTGTCTTGCAACCTGTATACTTTTTAACCTTTTCAGTGTGAGTATATATATATTATAATTATTAATGCTAAATTTTTCTACCACACCTTATACTTACTAACCTCCATTTGCTATATAGTGCATAAAAGAAGAGTACAATATATCTCCACAATTAATTTCTCTTTATTTAATTACTATACTATACATTCCTGATTGTAGTATAAAATAAGGCATACAAGCAAAGCAAGCAAAAATAATATCATTATACAAACTTACAAACACAGGCAGCATCTATTTTTGTCTGATATTGTAAAATGTACATGGCATCACGGGATGATCTCTCTACCCAGAAGGCGCCACCCTAGGTCTTCATTGACGGTGACAAAGACAGACATGTAGAGTGGAACAGCAATGAGACGAGGCAAAAGGCCTTTGAACAGGCTGCGGGCACCCTCTTCTCTCACTAACTGACGCATGAGGAGCAGTGGTCTCCGCCTCTTAGCATCACCTAGAGAGGGGAAGTAAAGATCGGCCATTATCCTGAAATTAGTGTCACAAGCATACCTAGCTTCTCTGTCCCCTGTATCCTTGTCTTTACCACGTCGAAAGGGCAAGCAACGACTCCAGCAAACACAGATGCAGGCAATCCGATCCACACCTTCTTAAAAGAGCTTGGCTCTTCTCCATACTTACTTTTGTAAAGCTTCATTATGTATCCTCTCCCGGTAAAAAGACAGGAGTTGAAAGTGATGTCACGGTAGAGTGTAGCCATTGCTCCGTGGTACAATACCCTCACTCCCTTTGTGCGCACCACTTCCCAGAATGTTTTCCCTTCAATCTGGGCCAGAACCATGCTGCGTTCTGAGGGACAACCTGCAAGAAAACCACAATAGCAGTCAAATTTTTAATAACGGGGAATGCTCTTTGGATGTGAAAAGGGCTAGCTATATAGGTAGGACAAACCAATGATGGTTGTTGCTGCTCCAGCCACTGACCCTGCAAATGCCCATTTCAAAACCTTTGGAACACTGAGGGAAAAGGTAGTTGGCCAAGTGCGTTCCTCCCTGCAAGCCCATGATTTTGAATGATTTTTCTGGAGCGATTCCAATGGATCGTACCATGACACCTGCAATGCATTTGCAGAGAACACAGTGTTAACATTGGTATATAATTAGCTCTTCACCTCGCATCAAGAAGGTGCCCCTGCTCTCAAACGAAGTTATCACAAATTGTTTAATGTTGAATCCTTTTCCATAAAACATCATCTGGGACTTGAGTGTGTAGAGCGGATGATGAGGGATGTGCGACAGTGATGCCGCTAAGCCGCTAAGAGCAAAATCCTGCATAACCCGAATTACTTTCGGTGGCTGACGGCCGGCATTTGGCTGCTTTTCGTTTCCCTTTGCCATTTTCAGACCACCTGCATTCTCCAGCACAGACCTTTTTACGTTATGCTTCTGGCACTGTGGGACTTTTCCCATTTACTGTTCTCTCAGTGCAAGCATTCTCCTTTGGTGGCTAGTTTCGTTTTGCTCTTGGTGCTGCTGCAGAAATCCTATATACTGTCGGAACTGCCGTCTTTGCGTTTTTTTATAGATTCGCCGCAGAGCTGAGAGTGCAGATTCGTGATGTTACGTGCGCCGCAGTTCTGCTTGTCGAAAAGCGTGGCACGCATGCGTAAGATGACCGAACCGAAACGCATGCATGAACGGGAACGCGCACGGGTCCGCGCCGCGCCCGAAGATTGATGTTCACGCATGCGCATTATCCAGAATCAACTTCACTTCAGAAGTCCTCTTCCACTTGCAGTATTGTTGAGAAGACCCACGCCATAGATGATCCGCAGGCAGCATGGTAAGATCAGGCAGTGGTACAATTGCCATGAGCATATTATAAACATGAGCTATACATAGCTTAGTGTTATTTTAACCCTCGGCGCGCGCATGCGCAGCGAGTTACGGTACTTGGTCTGTGTGTGTCGGTCTTTCTGTCAGCAGCTATTCTCGCACTACAGGCTACGAGGCAGCCCATGAGCGATACCAACGTCTTCAGAACTATAGTGTAACTAGCCCGTGTCCCACTCTTCGCGACCAACTAGCGTGGAGACCACGAATAAACGCATATATTATACTCACAGCCCAGCCTATTAATTGGCGGTGCCGGGCATGCGTAATGCGCCGAGGGTTTGCACTTCAGTTCTTTCTCTCATTGCATAATGTCATCTATTGAAAGCATGATCTTATTTATTTATTTATTATTGATGCACACACCAGTAAAGGTGCAGAATAGACAAACAACATAAAACGAAAAGAGAGAAAGTGGAGAGTATAACCACGGCCTTCTGGACTCTATCCCGTCGCCATCCGAGGGCTTAAACGTTGTAAAAGTGTTGCTGCATTTGACTTGGTGAGTATAAACGTTAGTGTTAGTAGCTATATGTTCACACAGGGTAAGCCAGAGCAATATCTCTGCACAGATTCTGCAATGCAGTGGATCCAGTGCGCTCATGCCACATAAATTCATCAAGATATGAAGATAACATGCACTCCTGTACTCCTTTCATCCGCTTAAATTTTCCGCAGACAGGGCCAGGGGGTCGCCAGTGATAGACATTATGACGGTAACGGTACGACGAATACAACAATACGAGCCATATATCGCGATTTTTCCTGGTCATACGCTGTTCGAAACGGCGGTCATTCCTGGTCAGTTCACGGCGGTCATAGGGGTACCATACTGTGTGCTCCGTCGCTACGCCGGTCGCTGTACCTCCACTGCGGTGCTTGTGGTGGCCTTTGACCTCTAGATGACGTTGCCGTTACGCGCGGAGGCTCCGTTAGTACGCTACGGTGTGGGTCCGTCTACTTAAGGTGATGAGAGTGAGTTATAATATACACGACGGTGTAAAAATTTGAAATGTTTTTCGGATAAAAAGAAGCGCGTGGACGACGTACGCGGTAAAAATCGCGCCGGTCGTATATACCACTAGGTTAGCTCGCTCCCGCTCGCCAATTACTAGTGGTGTTGTCAAGAATGTTGTTTCACGTTACATTCATAATGGTTCTTCAGTTTATGGTTGTTTTCTTGATGCAAGCAAGGCTTTTGACCTCGTAGATCATAGTCTCTTGTTTGAAAAACTCATTGATCGTGGTTTACCTCTCCCAGTTGTTCGTTTTCTGTCTTTCTGGTATATACAGTAACCAAAGGATGAAAGTGCGTTGGGAACAGTCATTCTCTGAATCTTTTAGAGTGTCTAATGGTGTCATGCAAGGTGGTGTCCTTTCTCCTGTCTTGTTTTCTGTGTATATATTTGGATGGTTTGCTTCAGAAATTGGCTGCTTCTGGTGTTGGTTGTCATTGGGGCAACTTGTTTGCTGGTTCTGTTTGTTATGCTGATGACATTGTGTTGCTGGCTCCTTGTGCATCGCCACTTAGAACTCTGCTAAATATTATATTCTTCCTATGCGTTCTCTCATGCTGAAAAGACTCTTATTCGTCTTTATCATACCCATCCTAGTTCTCCTGTTTTCATATTCAACAACCACGCCCTGCGCTATTCTTATGAAGTTACTCATCTTGGTCACATTCTCACATCTGATCTAAAGTGCAAACCCTCGGCGAACTGCGCATGCGCGATACTGCTAATTGATGGCCTGGCGGCTATTCGTGGTCTACCGCTAGTAGTCTGACACTGGCTAGCTACAGTAGTAGATAGCATGCGGGAGTCGATACATGCCATTCGATGTGACTTCCTGAGCCCCCAAGGTACACAGAGCGAGCGCCCAGTGCGATTCTACTTGTTTTTCACGGCAACGCTGTCGTTTCAGGAAAATCGCCCTTTATTTTTCAGGCTCGCGTAATTCTGAAGCCGCTGGTATCGCTAATAGGCCGCCTCGTAGCCTGTAGTGCCAGAATAAGCGTCGACACACACACACACACACACACACACAGACAGACAAACCAACTACTGTAACCCTCGCTGCGCATGGGCGCCGAGAGTTAGTGACAGTAGTGACATTCTCAGAGTTGTGAAAAGATCTGAATCGTAAAGCCAATTTTCTACTCTGTGCCTTTCATGCAGCTGATCCGTTTGTGAAATGCTATTTGCTTAAGTCCTTTTGCCTATCTTTGTATGGCTGCTCTTTATAGCGTCGTCCTCCATCAGGGTTATTGAAGTCTCTTTGAATATTAAAACTATTACGTAAACTCTGTAACTTACCCCGCAATTCTCATTCAGCTATTGTCCATTGTGTTGCTGAGATTGAAACAATATATTCTATGGTGTACAGTCGTGTCTGCTCTCTTTTGTCTATATACTGCTGTTTCATTCTGTTTTTATAGTTTCATCCCAAGTCGTTTATTCTTTCACTGGGTATAATATTATTTCGATGGAATTCAACATCTTTCTGGTTACAACTCTTCTGACTTCACTACTGCTTCTTTTATTAGACATCTCAGACATCTTTATGGTTTTCATTCTCCCTGTGAAGCTATATATCATTTGTCATTTGTCCTCTTTGTAGTATTTATCGTGGTGAGTGCTCTACGGTCGGTCCAGGAGCCCTTAAGCCCTCGGATGGCGACGGGATAGAGTCCAGAAGGCCGTGGTTCTGCTCTCCACTTTCTCTCTTTTCGTTTTATGTTGTTTGTCTATTCTGCACCTTTACTGGTGTGTGCATCAATAATAAATAAATAAATAAGATCATGCTTTCAATAGATGACATTATGCAATGAGAGAAAGAACTGAAGTGCAAACTCTCGGCGCATTACGCATGCCCGGCACCGCCAATTAATAGGCTGGGCTGTGAGTATAATATATGCGTTTACTCGTGGTCTCCACGCTAGTTGGTCGCGAAGAGTGGGACACGGGCTAGTTACACTATAGTTCTGAAGACGTTGGTATCGCTCATGGGCTGCCTCGTAGCCTGTAGTGCGAGAATAGCTGCTGACAGAAAGACCGACACACACAGACCAAGTACCGTAACTCGCTGCGCATGCGCGCGCCGAGGGTTAAAATAACACTAAGCTATGTATAGCTCATGTTTATAATATGCTCATGGCAATTGTACCACTGCCTGATCTTACCATGCTGCCTGCGGATCATCTATGGCGTAGGTCTTCTCAACAATACTGCAAGTGGAAGAGGACTTCTGAAGTGAAATTGATTCTGGATAATGCGCATGCGTGAACATCAATCTTCGGGCGCGGCGAGGACCCTCAGTCTCATACGTGCGCGTTCCCGTTCATGCATGCGTTTCGGTTCGGTCATCTTACGCATGCGTGACACGCTTTTCGACAAGCAGAACTGCGGCGCACGTAACATCACGAATCTGCACTCTCAGCTCTGCGGCGAATCTATAAAAAAAACGCAAAGACGGCAGTTCCGACAGTATATAGGATTTCTGCAGCAGCACCAAGAGCAAAACTAAACTAGCCACCAAAGGAGAATGCTTGCACTGAGAGAACAGTAAATGGGAAAAGTCCCACAGTGCCAGAAGCATAACGTAAAAAAGGTCTGTGCTGGAGAATGCAGGTGGTCTGAAAATGGCAAAGGGAAACGAAAAGCAGCCAAATGCCGGCCGTCAGCCACCGAAAGTAATTCGGGTTATGCAGGATTTTGCTCTTAGCGGCTTAGCGGCATCACTGTCGCACATCCCTCATCATCCGCTCTACACACTCAAGTCCCATATGATGTTTTATGGAAAAGGATTCAGCATGAAACAATTTCTGGTAATTTCGCTTGAGAGCAGGGGCACCTTCTTGATGCGAGGTAAAGAGCAAAATTACCAATGTTAATACTGTGTACTCTGCAAATGCATTGCAGGTGTCATGGTACGATCCATTGGAATCGCTCCAGAAAAATCATTCAAAATCATGGGCTTGCAGGGAGGAACGCACTTGGCCAACTACCTTTTCCCTCAGTGTTCCAAAGGTTTTGAATGGGCATTTGCAGGGTCAGTGGCCGGAGCAGCAACAACCATCATTGGTTTGTCCTACCTATATAGCTAGCCCTTTTCACATCCAAAGAGCATTCCCCGTTATTAAAAATTTGACTGCTATTGTGGTTTTCTTGCAGGTTGTCCCTCAGAACGCAGCATGGTTCTGGCCCACATTGAAGGGAAAACATTCTGGGAAGTGGTGCGCACAAAGGGAGTGAGGGTATTGTACAACGGAGCTATGGCCACGCTCTACCGTGACATCACTTTCAACTCCTGTCTTTTTACCGGGAGAGGATACATAATGAAGCTTTACAAAAATAAATATGGAGAAGAGCCAAGCTCTTTTAAGAAGGTGTGGATCGGATTGCCTGCATCTGTGTTTGCTGGAGTCGTTGCTTGCCCTTTCGACGTGGTAAAGACAAGGATACAGGGGACAGAGAAGCTAGGCATGCTTGTGACACTAATTTCAGGATAATGGCCGATCTTTACTTCCCCTCTCTAGGTGATGCTAAGAGGCGGAGACCACTGCTCCTCATGCGTCAGTTAGTGAGAGAAGAGGGAGCTCGCAGCCTGTTCAAAGGCCTTTTGCCTCGTCTCATTGCTGTTCCACTCTACATGTCTGTCTTTGTCACCATCAACGAAGACCTGGGGTGGCGCCTTCTGGGTAGAGAGATCATCCCGTGATGCCATGTACATTTTACAATATCAGCCAAAAATAGATGCTGCCTGTGTTTGTAAGTTTGTATAATGATATTATTTTTGCTTGCTTTGCTTGTATGCCTTATTTTATACTACAATCAGGAATGTATAGTATAGTAATTAAATAAAGATAAATTAATTGTGGAGATATATTGTACTCTTCTTTTATGCACTATATAGCAAATGGAGGTTAGTAAGTATAAGGTGTGGTAGAAAAATTTAGCATTAATAATTATAATACTCACACTGAAAAGGTTAAAAAGTATACAGGTATACAGACAACGTCAAAGCAAACAACATATCGATATTGGTATGCACAGGACTGTATTATACTCTAGGACAGCTGGACATCCTCATGGTTCGAAGTAACAGGGCAGCTCTTTCTTAGTTGGAAGTTCGTGTTTTTCTGGGTAGCTAAACACCCAGTGACTAACTAGTGTGTTTGAGTTTGCACCCACAGGCACATGGAAATGTGCCTCTTACTCTCAGGAAAAATTCATCACACAAGGCAAGCCTGTATATATTAGCTAGTTCTGAATGAAGGCTTATCTGTATTCTTCTGTACTTTTATCTGTATGTTTTAGTGCATACCCAAAGAAATACACACACAGAGTCATTCATGTTTAGGTGACCGAATGCAAGCAAGTCAATAAGTGTGACCTGCCCTATGTCAAGGTGCAAAACGTGCTACTTATAAGACACAAGTATGTTCGCTTTACTTGCAATAAGCCCATCCTGATTAAAACCAGGAATTTGGCGTTTTTGACTCTAGTGCTGTGAGTATTGGGGACTTGGTAGCTATAGTTTCACCAGAGAGAAAGCAATAGTTATCCTTCCATTAATGTCTGGTTTAGCATGCAGAGTCAAATGTGCAAAGTGGTTCGTGATCAGCCGTGTGGCACCAAACTTGCCTGCCTACATGGCAGTATCAACTTGTTTCTTGGAAAATTCAAACCCTCCCACAGTCAAAAGTGTTGGTGTGCAACATTAAGGCACCAGTCAACAATGCTATATATACTGGCGCCAAAGTAGGAATGAGCTGACGTGGGGGTAACGATGTCACAAGCTACTATAATATCAGCACAACATCTGGCAGTTATGCGAAAACACACACAAAATGCTGCCTCCGCTCTACCCTCGTTCCCTGGGGAAAACATCCTGATAACGAGGCTAGCTAACCCTACTCATTCATGCTTGGCTGAAAACTGCAAGTGGTATATACATAGCTACTAGTTTTGTGCGAGGGCAGTAGGAGGGCACTCGCGGAGTATGCATTGCTGAAGTCATTCTTAGCAAGCTAGGTGTTCACTTAGCTACATACCATGAGCCCTACCTCCATCTACCAACGCAGCTAATAAATAGTCTCAGTCTCCTGTTTCCCTCAATATTACACGTAACGTATTAGCTAGAGAACATTGTCGAATCTGGCTAAACATTAAATCTACGGGCTGGCTCTGTATTAATATCACTGTGTTGGGTTCCAGTTCACCTCTTTGTTGCTTGAGATCTACGTATAATCAAGGCTCACGCGAACCTGGTCCGACTGCATTGTATAGCCTCGTCCCAGGTGATGTGTTAACCGCTATAGCTACGAGCGTGCGTTGAGAATAAACTGTAGAAGGGTCTCTTGTCTTGGGATGTGCCAAGTTCGCTGGAATCACCGCATAGATGAAAAGCAAACCCTCGGCGAACTGCGCATGCGCGATACTGCTAAATTGATGGGGCTGAACTATTAGTATATGTGACCCGCTCTGGGAAAAGGTACAATTCGGCGCAAATATAGATTTTCCGATATGCGCGTATATACCAAAAAACTCGATGGTTAACTATAACCTAGTGTGTACCTTTTCGCGTTGGAACGAAGTCGATCTACCGCTCGTAGCGCCAGCAGCGTCTCCTCGTAGTTGTGGGCGTTGCCTCCGCGTGTATTGCGTCATAAAATTTCCGCAAAATAACGCGCACGGAAGGGCGCGCGCGTTATTGCGTACGGCGCTCGAACGGAAGCAGTTACGAAGATGCGGTTTTCTTCGTTGTATGCAGCGTGCGTTGCGCTTTCGAACAATACGCGTAACGCAATTTTGAATTTTTGCGCCGAATTGTATATACCTTTTCCCAGAGCGGGTCACAATTATAGTGTATGCGTGGTCTCCCGCTAGTAGCGCGCGGAGAGTCTGACACGGGCTAGCTACGGTAGTAGATAGCATGCGGGAGTCGATACATGCCGTTCGTTGTGACTTCCTGAGCCTCCAGGGTATATACACAGAGCGAGCGGATCAGGTCGCAGTCGATGCATATTGGCTTTTTCGCTTGTTTTCTCTCGAACGCAGTTGTTTCAGGAAAAACGCCCTTTTATTAGTTCTGAAGCCGCTGGTATCGCTAATTGGCCGCCTCGTAGCCTGTAGTGCCAGAATAAGCGTCGACACACAGACAGACAAACAACTACCGTAACCCTCGCTGCGCTCTTTGAACATATATATGCACGCGCGCGCGGGACCGCTAGCTACCGCGTATTACATATATTTATGCATGGCGAGGCCTATATACCTCCTTGGCCCCTCGCGGCGCCAGCGGGTGCAGGTCTTCTCCCTTTCTTCACTCTTGCACGAGTACATACATGACCTAACGAAACACCTCCCCTTTCAACGAACGTGCCACGCCCCATTTTCACTACTGCGCAGCTGCCAGCTACGCCCCCACAAAACTGCTGCATGCGCAAACTAGAGCGTCACTTGAGCATAGAGAGAAGAAAGGCTTCAGGCTCTGCTGGAAGGCTTTTTAGCCTTGATGAGGTTGTAGCAGAGTTGGACAGTATGGCAATCCCAGGTCCAGTTATTGATGATGAAGACTGGAGTGATGACGATTTTGACGGATACGTTGGTGAGCCAGATGGTCAAGTGGTAGAGGGGAGAGAGGGAGAGAGTGATGATGAACAGCAACAATGGGAAGCAGAGAACAGTGAAAGACTGGAGCTTGGAGGTGAATGTGAAGTAGGGGAAGCTAACGACCTGCCTGCGTACTCTTTCACTCCTGGGTGCAATTACTCCTGTGACAACGCGACTCCGCTTGACTTCTTCAGAATGCTTCTGACAGATGACATTCTCGACAACATTGTCACCCAGACCAACTTGTATGCAGCGCAGTTACATCTCCACCCACAACCTCCCTCCTCGTCGAGAGTCCACGGTTGGTCACGAGAGCCATTCACCAGAGAGGAGCTGCAGAAGTTCATCGCCCTCATCATCATAATGGGCCTGGTCAATTTGCCAACAATTGAAGACCACTGGGTGACAACATGGCCTTACTCCAGTGAAGCATGCAGCAAAGTATGTAATAGCCTACATTGTGATAATCCACACTCCACATACTATAAAAAAACATTTTGTACACAACATACATGATTATACTACCATACAGAGGACTACATAGTTTCACTAATTCCACCAAAACAGGTCCTGAGTCGAGACCGTTTCTCCCTCATCATGAATTTCTTCACTGAGTGACAACAGCCAGTATATTCCTAGAGGGCACCAGGTCATGACCCCTTGTACAAGATCCGACCACTACTATCACCCCTACTCGCCAACTTCAAGGCTGCCTACACTCTACATAGAGAGCTGTCCATAGACGAGGCGATGGTGGGCTTCAAGGGAAGGCTGTGTTTTATCCAGTACCTTCCTAAGAAGCCCACCAAGTGGGCATCAAAGCCTACGTCTTAGCAGACAGTGCAACTGGCTACGTCTACAGCTGGAGGCTGTACACAGGTAACTTACTACTACTCATTATGTATATTATATATTATGTTGTGTATTGTAACCTACAGGAAAGGATGAGTCACTCGACTTGGGGGGGAATGGCTACACCCACGCTGTAGTGCTCGAACTCCTGAAGGGTTTGGAGGGTAGAGGTCATCACGTGTTCACGGACAACTTCTACTCCAGCCCTGCCCTCTTCCGTGACTTACGTGATCTGGGATTTGGAGCGTGTGGGACTGTCCGTGTCAACCGCCGTGGACTCCCCGCAGCAAGCCACACTGGCCAAGGGCGACACTACATCAGCCCTGATTGACGAGACCATGATGGCACTTAAATGGATGGACAAAAGGCCAGTGTGCATGCTCTCCACCATCCACGATGACGCCATGACGACGAAGGTTCGTCGCACTCGGCGATAGAGGGAGGCCAGGAAGAAATCAAGAAGCCTGTAGTTGTGGAGGAGTACAACAGGTTCATGGGAGGGGTAGATTAATCAGACCAACTTCTGTCCTACTACGGGTTTTCACCATCGCACGGTCAAATGGTGGAGAAGGGCAAGCATTTCATTTATCGACATGGCTGTGGTAAATGCGTACATCTTGTACAGTACATCTACGCCAGTCCTCTAGAAACTCACCCACGAGCAATTCAGGATTGAGTTGTCCAAGGAAATGCTGCTCCAGGTGTCGGTGGACATAAGCGAAGATGCGCCTTTGAGCCACGGCCGACTACAACGTCCACTCCCACCCCAGTCAAGGCTTACTGAGCGCCACTTCCCCGCCCCTGCACCCCGCTGGGAAGAAAAGACAGACGGACTGCACGGTGTGTAGTAAAAAGAAAGGGCGTGGCAGGAAGACCACTACATGTGTAAACAATGCAACCTCCCCATGTGTATCACTCCTTGTTTTGAGCTGTACCACACGAAAGTAAACCCACAGAGGTATGTACCTCTGAATGTAAACATGCTCCACTGTGTTTATCATCCGTCTACATGTCATCCGCTACCGCTCATATTGCTTCCACGGTTATCACTTACTTTTATCACTTCACTGCACTATCATTCATCTATCCAGCACTCCCTCTCTGAAGAAAATAACATCTTTCAACTACGAAACAATAAATTCCAAGACACTTACCTCATGGCGCAAACGCGGACGATCGCGATCGGCGAAAATGGGCGTTTCTTGTCGGAATCGCACAGGGACAAGGCGCATGCGCGAACATCTACGGCGGCCGCGAGGGGTATGCGCCATGACGGCCCCGCGGGGAGACACAGGCGGGCGACGTGTTTACGACGTCTCCGCGACAGGCGCGCGACGTGTTTGCGACGGTGCTGCGACAGGCGCGCGACACGCAGGCTAGGGTGGTCCTACTGGTGGGCGTAATTGCGGGGAGTGGTGCAAGATTTAATAGCACAGCTGAATTTTTTTGGTATCTTTCTCGGACTTTTTAGTCCTTGCTTTACAAGCTCATTAGCACATTCATATTCCTCCTCCATACATACTCTATGGGAGCAACACCAGTGCGCGACTTCACCCACCACCCTAACCTGCGTGTCGCGCGCCTGTCGCAGCACCGTCGCAAACACGTCGCGCTATGGAGTGCCAGTAGTATTCATCACGGCCCATTCCGGGACATTTGCCGCGGCTAGTCAAAGTAACATCCGGGACATTTTCTCCGGAGGCAAACGGCGCACAAAAACAACAGAAAGTGCCATTATTCTGTCTCGGTTGCCGCGGCAATTGCCCCGGTTAGCTTCGAGTTGCCGAGGCAATTGCCCCGACAATTTGCCCCGGCAAGCTTCCACTTTCCGCATAGTCTCGTTCCGGGTCTGAGTACCCGCGCGCGGTTACGCCGCCAAAGAGCCCAGCCTATAGCCCATTTGCGCACACACAACACACTATAATTATTATAACTTTCCTCTTGCACGCGGTACCAAAGTTCACTCAGAAGTTCTTCTGCACCCTCTATTTGCCATTTTTCACAGCACGCCTTGCTAAGCCGGCCAGAGCGCGCGTGCGCAAATGGGCTAGGGGCTGGGCTCTTTGGGGGCGTAACCGCGCACGGGTAAGTCTCGTACTCAGACCCGGAACGAGACTACGCGGAAAGTGGAAGCTAACCAGGGCAATTGCCGCGGCAGCGGAGACATAATAATGGCACTTTCTGTTGTTCCTATACGCCGGTTGCCGCCGCGGCAAATGTCCCGGAATGGGCCGTGATGAATACTGGCACTAATTCCCCTCCATATCGCGCGCCTGTCGCGGAGACACGTCGCACGCCTTTCACAACGACGTCGCGCGCCTGTCAACTCGCCGCGCGGCCGTCATGGCGCATATCGGCATTGCCCCTCTCAAACATGTCTAGCGGCAACATAGGCTCGCTCTCGCTCGCAAATAATACTAGTGGAAATGTTGAACATTGTTGGCGAGCGGGAGCGACCCAAGTTGGCCGCGATGTTCGGGCTGCATAACGTGCCGTCAGCGCAGCTTTTATTTCGTGAAGCAAGACAGATCTACCTGTCGCCGTTACATGCGTACTGTATATTGGCAGAACGGTGAGCAGGTGAGTAAAACGGCTTTCAGCTCGTCAGTCGTGGTCCACCAGGCAGCTGGCATGGAGCAGTATCTGCACGAGCAATCCTAGCTTATTTCCAAGTTGCACCTTCGAACCATGAAAATTGGGAAGAGGTACAGCCACGGTCAGTCACCGAAGATTGCAGCACATGCCGTCGAATGGAAGAGAGTTCTCTCACTGGCTCGACGGGCGCATATCGCGAGGCAGCTTGTATGAAAATGTGTAAAAATGAAAAGAAGCGCGTAACGAAGCCGCGCATGCGCACTTACACGACGTACGACAGACGTATAGAAAAATCGGCCCGTTGCGACGACTAGGTTGGCTCGCTCCCGCTCGCCAATAGATGGTGGCGGGGGATGGTAATGAGTTTTTCACATCTAATATCTCACAAAAGTTAAGAAAAAGTGGAAGCTTTATTATATCGGCTCTTCCGCAATACTGCTTCCTTCAGTCTCCACTGCAGGTGTGTGGAGTTGTCTGCCTTAAAATGTGAGAGAGACCTCCACCATGTGATGCCTTAACCTTCACTGCAGTGGATGACAGGAGAGCATTCGTGCTTGGAGGGTACAGTGGAGAGCATCACTACATCATTCATCTTTCAACCAAGGTATTGCTTAACAAGTCAGGAAGTATATAGATCTTGGCCAAAGAGAGAGAGAGGGCTTTTTCATGTCTCAACTACGGAAAGCAGTTCATAAGGTCTTTTATACTCTCTCGGTGATTTCTTTTAGGTGGTAGTATTGTGTTCTTGGAGCCCAGAGACCAGTGCCACAATAAGCTCTTTCTGTAGCATGCTTATACTTTTCCCCTTCGCTCCCCCCTTTTTTCTCTGTCAACTTGAGTGTAGCTATGGCATGTGACACTAGCAGTATACACATGTTGTAGTCAGGTGCTGGTTGCGTGAATTAATGATGTCCCTATGAAATGGCAAGCTACACCCCAACTACTCACTACAGCTCACATACTTTGATGTGTAGTTGTGTTATCATCTACAACCTAGAAGTTAAAACCTGCTCTTCAGGGTCTCGTTTGGCTTGAAAGTTTTACTGATATTATACTTACCACTCAGAGACATGGTGGGCACCACACTTGAGTAAAACCAATTCCAACATAGAACCTTCTGTAGATCCTGTATGTGGGACATGCACTTGCGTGTCATTAACTTTAAAGGGTCTTGGCTCACAAGCATATCCTTATGTACGCAACTCGAACTCCTGCAGAACACAAGGATATGCTCGTGAACCAAGACCAGTACACGCATTGTAGTTTTTCAACAGAAGCCGAGACAGAGTATTTGTGAGAGCTTGTGAGATGGTGTCAGTGGCAGTTGTTCCTAGGCAAAAAAATTTATGCACATTTGCTCATTAGTGCATGTACGTTCATGAGCTGGAGGGGACTCTACACCCCTCAAATAAACCCCTGAAACGAAAGTTACATCCAGATCATCTATAATTACATATAATATATACCCTCACACTACAGGAGTTACTAACCAAAGACTACACTCTAAGCAAAGGGTCCTATTAGTCCGAGACCATAGTCATACTGGTAGCTACTTGTCACTCAGAGTCGTGGTGGTGAACGTGAGTGAAACTTGATGTGTTCCTGAAAAGGTTAACAAACACTTGTGTTCGCCGTATGCACTGGCACCCGATGTACTCTTTGGCAGCATCCCTGAGTGTCCCAGTGAAAGCATAGACCAGCAGTCCAATTGGCAGTGATACCACACCAAGTGGAGTGGACACTGCATACAACATCCACACCCCAAAATAGTCCCTCTTCCGCGTTGTTGAAATGATGTGGGTTACAAACTCGATCAGGAATAAGAGGGAGTAGGTACTCAGGAAAATTATCAGTATGACTGCCTCTTCCTTCTTCTGTCCTCGGTGTCGTCTGATCCTTTGGAAACTGTGTTTAACACTCAGCAGGAAGAGAATGGTGGCAAAGAGCGAAAAGAAAGCTGTTATGCCAAACGGTATGTACCATATTCCCATCTGCTCCCAGAAGCTACCCTTGATAATCTGACAGTCTCTGTCCAGTGTCCTGATCCAGCACCATGGACCTGTCTCTCCATATGGTACTGCTACGAATGGCACCCACCCATACAAAGCCGGTCCTACCACCGACACCACCACCAGTAGTGTCTCAAGTGCCACCTTTTGCCTCTTGGACGGTCCTTTTGGTGAGACCGAGAAGAAGATGTCGAGAGAGTGATAGATAAAGTGCACTGATACTCCGACTACAAAGAAGAGCTGAACACTCCCTGTGTACTGGTCCGCCACACCAACAGCCTCACACAAATGCACCTGTGTAAATTTCAGTTTAACTGCTAGGGGATAATTCTCATGGATACATAGCTAATTATTCTAACCTGCCACATGTGTCGTGGGACGAAATCTTTCCCCCCAGCCCCTCGGTAGTTCCAGTAGTGCTCCATGTGAGCACTGAGTACCAGGAGATAGGCAGAAGTGGAGAGGAGAAGGTAGCTCATGAGGCGAGTCTGAGTGCTTCCTTTCAAACCAGCCAGTCCTTTCACCCGCAGCACTACCACCAGCGCCAGTACAGAGACTGCGAAACAGGCCGCCCCAGTCGCGCCCCTTGTCAATGCCACCAGACGAACATCCTGTGGTCTCAGGTTGGTGCAGTTGCTGAAGGAGCCTATTCCTCCTCTGTCCTCTAGCTCCACTTCATACATTCTCTACAGTGGCGGATCCAGGCAAAAGCGATCCGACCCGCCCATTTTGTATTGCGGCGCGCGTGGTTGGCGCGCCCGTTAGTTAGCGGCATGCGCTTATATAGCAGCTCGCTGAAAAACGAGGAAGAAGTTGATGGTATATATATAGCACAGACGCAAATACAACATGACATTTTTCTCTGCAACTGCAGAAGCTACCAGCGGATGAGGCTAGTGCAGTTGCAAAAGCAATGGCGAAGGGACCACAGTCGGCCTCACCCGACTGCATTTGTACATTATTGTACTGGAGCTGAATTGTTTTTTATGTGTCCTCAATATACTTGATATTTGTACCTTGCTATGGTCAGAACAAGGACAGTACATGCTGTCAAAACATTAACTTCAGGATGATTAGTTCCATTGTGGATACTACATGCCAGTGGCACTGCCCAGTGTGGAGTATCTGTATAAATTCTCCGGTTTGAAGTGTTGGTGAGCCCCAGGTTAACATTTTGTAAACCAATAACCAATGGATTTCCTCTCTTTATAAGTATTTGTGCTGCATTAATTAAGATCAGGGATCCATGATGTTGGCCACTCACTTGTACTTGGTGCACAATTATCTCGGCATCTATCATAATCATGCTCCTCTTCCTTCGTGAGACATAAGTTAATAGTTGAGGATGCACTGTTTTCTTTGGCATCTGTGATTGTTTGCTCAGGAGCATAGTCTATCAATCTGTAAGAAATGGAAAATTAATAAAGCCATTACTATTTGGCTCCCAAGTTCCCTAGCCCTAACGTCACTGAAGAAGACTTCGAGGTCAAGAGACTCTGTCTATATACTCCATGAAAGCGTCACCCCTCTCCGCCCTCTCAATCTTCTAGTCCCGGCGAAATCCCCAGACATTTTTTGAGTATCACCCTCCACATCTCTACAAGATTCCATAGCGTAACCCCCCTCAACTCTACCCCCAGCCATATTCCCCTGTGATTCTAAGCCAGTTAGACAATCATCCATCCGGTCACCATTGTTCCCCACCACCCTACCGCCCCCACCATTACCCCTGTAATCAGTTCCCTCCTGCTCCCCAGCCCCCTCCCGTTCACTCTGCTCCCCATCAACAAACGTGTTCCCAACTGCGACACTAGCATTTCCATTGGTGAGGGTGGCATAGTTGGCAGTTTTCTCTCTCGTTCTCCCCCTTTGGGCCTCGAATTGCTGCTTACTGCACTTGCCGGATCGCAGCAATGATCGTGGAACCGCCTTCTTTATTTGAGCACATGTCCGCAACTCCCATATTATGTCTTCAGCGAGTTTCCATGCGGCTGGTCTTGTGGTAGTGTTCCTCCGATCAACGAGTAGGTCGTATTGATTCACCAGAGCGCTTCTCTTCGCAGTATCGAACAGGCAGATTCGTATCTCCTTCAAGATGTTAACATCAGTTCTTCTCAATCTGAGCAAGAAGTCGTCTTTAGATAAATTTGGAGATAATATGTCTAGGCCAGCTAGTCGATCCATCCTTCCCGCCTTCGCAGCCACAGACGTAGCAGCTGGGGCTATAGCTAAGACGAAGAGGCAGACGTACACGTACACGTAGAGATACACCAACATCGACTTTTAACGAAAACCTTCGGCATAAGACCAAAGTCGGCACGGAGCAGCTCATTAACCCTCGGCGCGCATGCGCAGCGAGGGTTACAGTAGTTGGGGTGTGGGTGTCTGTCTGGTGTCTGTGTGTCTGTTACTCAACATCTCACTTCTCCAATGTTCGTTCGTCTCACAAACGATACGACATACTCAACGGCCAATGATGGTCAGAAAATTTGTGCGGTTTTCTCTGAAAATGCTCCGTTGCAAAGCTAGAGCGCGAAAAAGCCAATATGAAAATACGACTTACCACGGTCCGATCGATCCGCGTGCTCTGCGTACCTCGGAGGTACCAGAAGATGCAACGCAGGGTGTGTATCGCCTCTCGCATGCTATCTAGTAGTATAGTTAGTCCGCGTCAGACTCTGCGCGAGCTGGCAAGAGACCACGAGTTCTAAACCCAGCCCATCAATTAGTGGTACGGCACATGCGTTTGTTTACGGGTGCGCGTCATGTCACAATGCGCCGAGGGGTTTGCACTTATGGAATTTAATTGGCGAGCGGGAGCGAGCTAACCTAGTGGTAAGAACGGCGGCGCGATTATTTACGACCCACCGCGTACGTCGTGTAAGTGCGCATGCTCCAGGATTACGCGCTTCTTTTTATCCGAAATGATTTCAAAATTTCACATGCTGCCTGATGTGTCGTGCGTGTGTGTAGCTAGCTCCGTACTCTCGCATCAGTCTGAGAGGAAGCCATTCGTTGTCGAAGAGAGAGGGAAAGAGAACATCGTGTCAGTGAGACTCCTGAGCATGGAACGCGCATATTCTTTACACGCTGCCTATCTGTCATATCGATGCGAAATCTCAGCGAAAGAACTCTCGTCTATTCGCTGCGCTCTTCCGAGGCTGTATATACATAACTCTTTCCAATCTTCGTGGTTCTAAGGTTCAAGTTGTAAATAGGCTAGGATGGCTAATGCAGATACAGTCATTGTGTGCTCGCTCCCGCTCGCCAAAAATGCCATGCATTCGCCTACTAGTAGTAGAT